ACTAATATATGTTTTTAAATCCTTGATAACTGCTTTTACAGGAAAAATACTGTCTCATCTCTGGTCCTCTTTCTGTTTTGAAGACCAACAAAATGTCCTGAACATTTTCCATCAATGCCTTCATCAGATTAACCCTGCTTGCCTGAGAAAACCAAAAGACTACATAATTATGTTCATGCAGTTGGTTAAAAAAATGTTCAATACAATAGAACAAACATAACATTTGAACACCACGACATGTCTTTGAGACTTTGGCAATAGTCCTAATGCCAAGTGGAGTTTGACAAAAGAAAAACACCCCAAAGTTACCAATATGGCAGGAGTGAAAACAGAAATATTGAAACACATTACATACTTTTGAGACTACATACATGCATCATTTTAAAAATGATTTTAGAAACTTAAAGTGACTCGGTACGTTCGATAATTGTTAAATAACAAAATATATACTTAGTGAAAGTATATATTTTGTCATCCTGAACTTTGACTCAAGTTTGACTCAAGTAGAGTAAAGATAGAGCGCAACAGGCAAAGGAAATACACATACATATAAACTGAGTGAGATAAAAAAAAAAAGCAGATTCAAAATTATACTGTAGGAAAAGGAGACGATGACAAATGAGCTTTGTAAACAATTATTTGCTACATCGCAATTTCACATGTATGGTCAGAGTGAAATTTAACTTTCAGTAAGCCCCATCAATACAAGATCATCATTGTTAAAGTCGCCCCACACTACGGATCTATGAGTCCTGTTGAGTGTCATGGTAGATTAAGAAGAAGTCCATGTAACCATGTGGTTGGTCTGTCCATCTTTTTCTTTTTTTGCAATCAAGAGAAAATATTACACGATCCATGATGGCATGAATGCAGTTGCATTGTGAAGGCAGGTCTGGGCCCACTCCCGGAACCATTCAGACCATTTTGGAAGGGGGAATGTGTCCATTTCGGCTGCAGTCAGCCTATAAGTCGGAGAAGTAACTAATCCAGAATAAACAGCAACATTCAGTGAAGTTCCCATCCTTTCACAATGTAAGATAATCCTGGATCTTCTGAGCTTGCTTTAATTCCTTTGATTGCATCTCTACCAACTTTTCATTTTCAGGCTCTGTTTAGGTACGCACCTCCAGTTTAAAGTTGATACTCTAAGCAAATAAATGTCCCTTAATTTGTTACCTACGGCAAGTATATGTTATTTTTAAGTTTTTCAATTACTTAGTATATCACAAAAAAATTCTGTCTACTCGAAATCCTCAATTGAAATGTCTAAAATATCCGCCTCTCTTTGCATAGAAAATCAGTCACGACGCTGGTCTACTATTTATGACCTCACGTCCGGGAGAGAGTATATTCACGTACCCGGATGTTCCATAGCAAGCATGTGCAGAGTGATACGATTTTCTGCATATTTTTGTTTCAAAGGCTGAAAAGTCTAATAAATCATAATTCTATGTACAATTCTTTACCTTCCCCTAGTACTTCATAGTATTAATATCAATTCCCCTTTTAAAAATTATGACATATACATGCCAACGATGTGCTATTAGTCGATATTTTCACCATGTAATTTTTGTTTTGGTGTTGAAATCGGCCTAGGCACGGAGTGAACAGTAGCTGTCTACCCATGCACAGTTCATTACCATACACTACAGCGATCTCCCGATGGTTTCTTCTTCCTTTTTCCCATGTCTTTCGCCTTCCTTGGCCCTGAACATCCTTCATCTACCAATTCTGACACCGGTAGTCAGGAGCAAGTCTTTGTTAGTTGTTTTTCTTAGCTGGCAACGTCGCTTTCATTCTCTTGCAATTGCCGATAAACATATAACTAGCGCACGTACGTTCCATCACAAGCAAGCAGCGCCTAGAGCAGCGGCTTGGTCTTACCTCCCAATTCTGCTAGCTCCACGAACGTTCATGCAAGAGCCGCATCACTCGCCAAAATATTATAGAGGAAGCGCGCTTGCATGATCTCGTTCAAGTTTGATATTTTACAACATAAAATGTTTAACTGGTACTGTATCCTTTTTTGAGGCAGTCACACACATCTATGATCATAGTTCTAGACCTATTCGTTTTACAAAACTGCTCATGTACATCTGATGACAATATAATGCATCCGCCTATTCGTAAGTGCACGATTTAACTTTAATTCCTAAGCAGTAAACTCGTCTTAAATCTCTACCAAATAGGTGAATATGAGGATATAAAAAGAAATCAGCGACTGGAAAATGTTGCTTCGTTATTCTTCATTCAAATGAAAACAGAAAATCCATCAAATATACTCCTTAACAACAACAAATCTAAGCTCTGACAGGATAGCATTTACGTAGGGATATCACTGCCATTCACTCTCACTGAGCCCATGACTCCCGTTCGTGACGTCACGGATAGAGGCCGACTCTACGTGCACTTCCGGGTTTCAGACTTAGATATTTTGGTAGAGTTTACTCGAATAAATTCATTATTCTAAACTTGTTTTGTCGGGTGGACACCATTTGGTGTTATTATGGGGTTAAAAGCTTTCTATTTATGTAATTATCTCAGTATTTGGGATTGTCTTTAATAGAGTATCAACTTTAAACACCTTTACGGCGTCTTTTGGAGGAAACCTACCAAGTACCAAGTGCCTGCCCAATGGAGGAAGACAACCTATATATAACCTTGTACATGAGTGAGTGGTGTGGGAGAGACTGCATGGTGCAAGAGAAGACATACAGATGTCTTATCAATACGGACTCACTCTAATACATGTCCCGGAACATATTGCTGTAGATTCAACTAAAGCATATTTCTTTGAATACGACTCATTCTATTTCTCATACCTCTTCAAAAATCAATGACTAGCTTTATACAGATTGGGGGGATAATCAAGTGTTACAGAAGAATACATGATTGTGACATTTGTGGAAGACAATCATTAGGTGCATTCCTGGAATACCGATTGAGATTCCGGAATTTGTTTTCTCCAGTCTGACTGCAACATTCAAAAGTCTGTTACAGAACGCTATCTATAGAGTGCTTGGTTGTGTAATTTCTGAGCATGTGCAGTAGAGGATACAAATTTCCCGAGTTGATAATGCAGACATGTTTCAAACTGCAATGTAAACGCACATCAGAAACTCCAAGAATATTCCAGGAATCAAAATTTCAGGACCATTTCCCAGTTGGATCACACCCTTTTTCATTTCTTCCCTCAATTGGCATCATAACAAAATCTTGACTGCTCACTCAGGTTTACTTCAGAATTCTGTTTGAGAAAATCAAACATCATGATCACCAACACAGTTAATTTTTTTCCTTCAATATATTTGATGACATCATTTCTTGTTTGAATACAGCATAGCATCGTTGAGCCTCCTAGCCTTATTGCACGCTGCTTCCACTGCTTCTATAAGACATTTCCTGAATCCACCTCTCTCAAGTTCATGGATGGCATCGATCGTTGTACCTCCTGGAGAACACACATCGTCCTTGAGCTGCGATGGGTGCTTGCCGCCTCTCAGCACCATCTTGGCTGAACCCTGAGAGCAAAGTGAGCAACAAAATTTGAAATGGATCTTACCTTTTTGCAAGTAGATATCAAATTTAAATCATGTGCAAAAGGGTACAAAATAACAACATTTTTCATGTGGTAAATTGTGTATAAAAGATTTATTCTGCACATCCACTCAACCCAGGTGATGTAAATGGGTACCTGGCAGGAATTAATTCCTTGAAATGCTAGAGCGCCGCAGTGGCTGCCTTGCTTAAGCCAGGGTAATAATTGGGGCAGCACCAGGAGCGTCACAACGTGACAGACAGGTGCGCTATATAAGAAGCTCCCATTATCATTATTATTATTATTTGCTTTACCCATTGTTTGCATTGTAGCTGCACATATTTGGAGCAGGAGGCAATCTGAATACAATCAAGAGGGATGACTCTTGAAAAAGCAAGGCACGCTATAAATATTATTATTATTATTTTTTATATCAACTTGTGGGCATGGTTCCTTTATATTTTTTTTAATTACATGGTACTTACTAATAGTGTTTGAGCTGCTAGCTTGATAGCGATGTCCCTTGGAAGCCCCATCTTAACTCCACCGTCTGCAAGTGCGTCAATAGCTACATAGGCCTGCAGGAGCAAAGAAGAAAATACCGGTTAACATTCCTTCATTCAAATAACTGATTGATGATTATTTGGTTGTCAGTTAAACACAGGAAAGCTTCATGTAATTCTTAACACCTATTCATTGGGTATTAGGAAAATAGGGTCATTTTTGTTTGTTTCTTTTTTCTTTTTTCTTCAAAGATCAAAAATTCTAAATTACTCTCAATAAAGAAGTGTAATTATACCAGCATTGCCAATTCTGTTATTTAACAAAAGTTGTGTAAAGATTGAATAATCAAAATAACAGTAACTCTACTATAAGGAAGTATACCAGCATTTCAAATTAGCAGATAAATGATCAATCATGCCTTTCAAAAGTTCCTGCCCTGATTTTTTGTTGTTGATAGTACATCTCTAAGAAGTGACAACTATAATCATAGAATACACCCCTGTCAATGTATTGATATAACTCACATAGGCCGGCCCACAACCACTGACAGCCATCGCTGCGTCAATGATACTCTCGTCTCCCTCGATGCAGATACCTAGCTTGGAGAAGAGCGATTGGATCAAGCGATTGTCGCCCTCTTTGATGTGCGAACCACACGCAAACACGGTAGCCCCCTCCCGGATGATGGTGGGTGTGTTGGGCATGGCCCGGACAACCCTTGATCTTTCTGGTAGGTTCTGTATTGAGGGATTATTACGAAGTGCAGAGAAAATCCTTGATATATATATTATTCTATTTTAGAAATTGAAGATTACTTTTACTTTTCTCAGTACATTTTTCACTATTTATAAAAACAAAATAAAAGCAGAACTAAACTGCTCATAGGGGATTCCTTGGACCTGTTTCACAAACCCTTTTTTCAATGACAAATGACAAAAATTAGTGACAAATTTGCTTATAACCAATCAGAAGCAAGGATTTCAGTAGCTTATAACAAAAACTGTCATTTGTCACTGATGACAAACTTTGTGAAATGGGGCCCTGGTGTAAAGCAATGTATAGTATCATAAAAGAAATGAGCAAAGGTTGTAAAGAACCTTTTTTATTTCCTGTTTCTTATAATGCTACAATTTTTTTCTCTCTTTTTTGTAAGATTCTATAAAATCCATGACTGTGAGACAAACTGTAAACTCTAAACGTTTCTCCACAACAGGTGCAGAAATCAGAACCACTGTAAAATCTGACCTGACCTGCAGTATCTTAGTAAACCTGTCTACAGCGACCGCCCAAGGAAAACACAAAAAGTGGTCTTTGTAGACAGGTGGTCTTTGTAGACAGGTTCTTTTAGTACATGATTCAATGAAAAACCTTTTTCAAGGGAAACAAAAAATGTGCTTGTTGTAGACAGGTGGTCTTTGTAGACAGGTGGTCACTAAAGCAGGTTTGACTGTACCTGCAATTTTGAACAAATGAATACATATCTTACATTTTCAATAAAATCTAATGAGATTCCTGCAGCAAGTGATATGAAGAGTTGGTCTCTTTTGACGAATGGAGCTATTTCTTTGATGACGGCGCCAGCTAGGTTTGGTTTGATGGCCAAGAAAATTGTGTCAGCCGTCTCCAAGATCTCTCTGTTGCTACTGGTTGTCTTGGCTCCAAGATCCTGTACAAAAATACAGCATAAAATGTAGAAATTGTTGAACCTATGACTGATAAATAATACCTGTAAGAAGACCCTTGAAGCTTCACCATTTTGATAGCATGTTCTTCTTGATCACTCAGTTCATAATTTGTATAATATTTGTATTAGCTTGTCATTGTCTAAATTAACTTTGATTTTTCTCTATTTTTATATTTGTTGAGTTATGAAAAGAAATTCATCAGTTGTGTTTAGTTATTTAAAGGAGTAGGATAATGTGGTATGCCCCACTTGTTTTGATATTTACTGTGTATCTGAGTCATCAATTACGGAAGTATACATGTATGAATGTGCATGATTCATGACCTACTTGGGGAGTTAACAAAAAGAAACAATGGCAGTAGACAAAAATAAAGAATACACACTAGCACAAATAGTGTAACAAGAAAAAATTACCCCTATAACTTGTAGATTCCTGTTTGATGGTGCACTGGCCATTATCCTCTCTGCTCCTACAGCACCTAGATGAAAGTAAAGAAAACAAAACGAACTTGAGTATTTTTTATCAGTTAACAGCATGCCCCCTATCTACGTATTAAAAAATCCACAGGGAAGAGACAACTGATGTTTTCTGTAGCCTCACAGAGAGCCCCATGGAGCATACAATTGGAGCCAACATGTATCTAAGTGACAGACTGGACAAAGGGCTCGGTAATCTCACACAGCAAAAAGAGTATTTCTTTCTTTTTTCTTTTTTTTTCTTCAGTCACACATGGTACTGTAATCATGCAGGCCTTTTGCCAACATGTTTGCTCCTCGAATAAAACTGGAGCATTATGGACATAGTCATAGTTTTCCTTTCTCAATGCTTGTTTTTTTAAAATCTTTATATCAGTGAATAAATTGGCTTGGCCAGCTATAACTAGCATGGCAGCCATCTTGAAAAAAAAATTGCGAAATAGTAAATAGTCTAGTACAGGCGCGTAGCCAGGGGGGGGGCGGTGGGGGCGGTCGCCCCCCAAAAAAAAACGCCGGCCAAAAAAAAAAAGAGAGAGAAAGAGAAGAAAAAAAAGAAAGAGGACGTAGGAAGAAAAAGGGAAAAGGAGTTGAGAACGGTACAATGAATCGTCAAAGCTTCCGCGCTTCGCGCGGGAAGGGAGAAACTGAGTTCAAATTAAGAAATATGTGTCGGGAAAGGTACAACGAATCGTCTTCTTTCTCTAATAATTTAATGAAACGTCAAAGCTTCGCGCGAGAGGGGGGGGGGAACAGAATTCAGACAAGGATTAAGAGTCGAGAAGGTACAACAAATCGTCTTCTTTCTCTAATAATTTAATGAAACGTCTAAGCTTCGCGTACGCGAGAGAGGGGAGGGACTGAATTCAGACAAGGATTATGAGTTGAGAAAGGTACAACGAATCGTCTTCTTTCAAAGCTTCCGCGCTGCACCCACCCCCCTAAGGAGCGCGCTTTGCGCGCTCTTTAAGTGATTCGCACGCTTCGCGTGCTCACTACCGCCCCCCCTAAAATAAAATCCTGGCTACGCGCTTGGTCTAGTATGCCCTGCCTGCATCTTTTTTTCTGTAACATAGCCATCCTAGAATGCATATTAATATTTGAATATACGAATATTTGTGTTGGTACGGTGAGGTGGAGATCAAATTCAAAATTAAATCGTCCAGATTCTGGACTAAATTAACCAGTATGTCGTAATGATTATGGACAAGTTAAGACCTGGGTAGTCATTCGTTTATGGTAAGCCTCCCGATTATCGCATCAGATTCTCTGTGCGTGCGTATCATGAATATTGATGACTAGCGCATGAAGTACAGGTCCTATTGAGCCAATCAAATGCAGCGACAGGATGGCTAGGGAACGGGGGGAAAAGACGCGCCCTGCCTCTATCTGCCTTTTTTTTTAAAAGTTCAGACGAGAAAGACACATTCTTTTTGTTATTTGACCAACCAACTTTTAAATCATGACCATTATTTGAACAATTGATGAAGATTTAGTTGATTTTCGTTCATGCCGAATTCGAAGTTACCAACCAACTTTTAAATCATGACCATTATTTGAACAATTGATGAAGATTTAGTTGATTTTCGTTCATGCCGAATTTGAAGTTACGGGTCAAAGTCTGGATATGATTCTGAACTAGCGCCTCGGAGCTCCCCTCGCCCTTTGCTCCTTCTCTCTCTCTCTCTCTCTCTCTCTCTCTCTCTCTCTCTCTCTCTCTCTCTCTCTCTATCTATCTATTTCCGTCCGTCTGCATTATTCTATCTTTCGTTATCATCATTTTGAGCTGAGCCTGAGGTCGCTGTTTCAGTATATTATTTGGAGGGAAACATGGGAAACAATACACAAATACCCATGTTTGGGACTACACCACTTCAATCATTCAAGAAAAATAGACACTTACTTGCGGAAAGGAGGCCTTTTATTAGCGTTAATGCTACATTTCCAGCTCCTACGAAGCCTATTGTTCCGATTGACATAATGAAGAGATGTTCTACTAAACGTCTTCAGAATAATTTTGGTAATATATGTCTTTGATCCCTGAAGTACAGAAGGCGCAACTGTCAGCGAAACACGAGCGATGATGCAATATGCAACGTGGACAAACAATAACATGACTGTAGTCTACAAAAAGAAACTCTTTTTAAATGCCAAGAGAATAGGTGAATAATGTTCTGTCGATCATCGGTTACATGATGGTGATGATGATGATGATGAGTGATTAATGAAGTTAATAACATTGATGATTGATTGATATTACTGATTCAAGCTAGTGTGCATGTGTGTGTTGTTGTTTTGGGGGACCGGAGCTAGGGGTGGTATGATGATGACAATGATGATCATGATTCATAAAACTATTGTCAATAACATCTGCCACAGATCGATGATAAATCTACTCTTATATCTATGAAATGTACGATTTTTACTGGGCTATTAAAACAAACAAAAATATTGTATCATGTTATTGTTAACAAGTTTTATGAAACAGGGCCCAGGCCACACATGCAGAGACATTATTTTCCATGATTCCCCTACTTGTTCACTATATTAAAATAATTAATGGAATATGAAAGAAATAATTGAATAAAATAAAGCCCTTTTTAGGATTTTTACAGGATTTTGTATAACTCAGATTCGTTTAATTAGTAAGCATCATATATTCATGTACTATAGGACGAAGGGTCGATCTAGGCGGCCCAGCACAAAAAGGGGGGCAGGGGCGGAACCTGCCGGCGGCGAGGAAGGGGGCCCGAGAAATTATTTAGCGGGGCCGAATAAGCGGGGGGGGGGGGGGTTAGGGTGGGGGCGTAGCGAGCACTGGTTTAGGGTTTGTTCGACGGGGGGGGGGGGGGTATGGAGCTCTATTTTTTTTCTCAACACCCCCCCCCCCCCTTTTGAAGGTAAAATTAACGTTACCATCTTTTTTTTAAAGCCCTCGGATCCGCCGATGGGGGGGGGGGGGTGGCTAGCAGTGATTTAAGAAGCTTGTGGTGTATATATAGTCGCAAAAACGATAGGGGTATTAATAACCCCACCCCCATTCACCTTTTAGAACCTCTACCACCCGAAGATAGTGTCAATAAAAGAGATTGTTTTTATGCTTTGAACTATATTGCACTGGGGCTTGATATTATAAAAAACGCGAAATATTAGTGAAAGGTGTGATGAAGGAGAAAGGAGAAGAGAAGGATAAATGAAAGCAAAAGGAAGAAGAAAAAACAACACGATTACGAACTCGATTTGATGTTTGCACCTCATCTTTGATTGATTTATTTTAGATAAGGGATACCGAAAAATCACATCCACTTTTATCAAAAATACAACTATAACAGCGATCTATATTTTACATATTCATTCGAATATATACACCAATCAAAAATGGAATAAACCGCACAGTACTATTATTGAAGCTTGAGAGAAAGAAAGTCGAGTACTGTCAATGATTATTATTTGTACTATACATGTTCATACGTAAGGATACAGATTGAGCGTAATTCCGCCATACGACACAAGTCTTATATCCTTTATTTCATCCAAAAATGAAGATCTTTTGATATGACCGATTATTGACTAGTTGTAGTTTCTGGTAACATATACATGTAATTACCATTAGACAAAGGTCATATCTAATTATTTTGCCATTTTCGATAAAATCAATGGATACAAATAATTATATCGTCATGGATACATAGCATGGAATCGCCCCTGTATTACATAACATCGAGTTGAAAAAAAAGTCCCACGATATCATTCTCCAATCCCACATAATACTAATGGATTGTGCATAAATATTAGTAAATCACTTTGAAGATGATTTTCTTTCTCTTCATAAAAAAAAGAATGTTACAGTTTGTTATGCTTACTGAGAGACGGAGGTCGTGTTTTAGGGTAGGGCTACGACAGACATTTACATTTAGATGGCCCAAATTTAGGCATTCGTTCGAAGGTTCTCATAATTACAAATTGTCGACAAGAAAAATGCCCTTCATCAACATCACTTTCGAAGAGAGGTGGGGGAGGGGGTTAAACTCCCACCCTCCATCTGACTTTTATCTTTACGGGGCGGCTGGGACATGACTAATTTTTCATGAAAATCCTTCTTTGTTCCCATAGCTACTGCTTTTACAGTGAGACGATAAACCCTAATCAAATGAAATGAAATGAACTGCATAATAAAGGCTAATAAATAGTAAACCACTTAGCGCTTTAAAAAAAAATACTCGAAACTCGATAAAATGTGGCATTTGACAATTCCAGTTGAAACAAGAATATTGGGCACAGCGAATACAAACAATGCTTACTATATACATGCATATCAACAATCAACACAATCAAAATAATACTTTAAGACAAAATGTTGGCAATTAAAAATAATACAACGATTGCAGGTCCACATTAAGCAATGTCTGCGTTGTATAAGCATGAAAATGTGCGCGATTTCAGCAGCATTGTTAACAGATTGTCAATCTTCACCTAATAAGGAAGCCAGAAGTTCACAATAGTACTCGAAAAAAATGATGAAAGTACTATTAAAGGCATTATCATTAGCCTCGATTTTTGTACACGTTTACTCTGTGGAATCATGTGAAATGAAATGACATTGTCCTATAGCAAAAATATCGATTTACTAGGGTAGAAAATTGTACACCATGAATGGCAAGACGGTTAATCATTTAAAAGGTTGGTTCCATTACTTACATTATTTTGAATTGAACGTAAAATTGACGTTGCGCACTGCTGGTATAATAAATGATAGCAGGCCTGAATGATAGTCATAATTATTCCGTAAAAAATCTGTTTAAAAGTAGTCCATGATCACTCTAAAATGACTGTGTATAAAATACAATGTAATACTTTGTTATAATGAACAATTGAAAAACACAAAAGCATCAGCATTTGCTTCGAAGGTAACTTATATTGAAAATACATGTACAATGACAAATTTACCAAACTCATGAAACAGAATTAAACGGGCATGGATATTTAGCGAAGCGAGGTTTCGAAACAGAATTCATTTAAGAAAGCACATGGTTTGAATAATTTCGTTGCCAAATAATAAGCTAAAAATATTAAACATTGCGGTGGTTACGAATTGACTCGTGTATTTGGTATACAATATCAAAAGGGAGAGACAAATTAAAGATGGCAACGTAATAGGTTGGTCTGTATATAGTGAGATGGAGAAAGCTAATAGGCCTAATTATGTCCCTGAACTTAGTACGTCCATGGAATAACCTGGTATTATGAGAATCATGTGTATGAATTTTAACTGAATAAATAACAAAACATTATACATGCCACTTAAAACATTAATTTAAAATATACTTTAAATATAATGTACAAAAGTCATGTCCTATAACGACATATACAATGATCCTTTTTATTTCAAATCTGAATGAAACGAAACAATATTTTAACGAAAGACGATGAAGAAAAGTGAGCTGACCTGCATGATAAATACAAACTTATATTGGTGAAGAAAATGCTTACATTCTTTAAAATATTAAAATATGCTGACATAAATGGCAAAGAAGCATCTGAAATTCACAAAAGAAGCAATGACGAAAAAATAACAACAAATTACTTGATGACAGCAAAAGTAAATAGTAATCTGCCCATGACTTTCTGCAACATATCTATCACGACTGGAATAGGGCATTCCGAATTCCTGAATATCATCATTCTTAAAGAGACGATTATTGTGGTCTCCTCGCTGAACGTTGCCTTAATTATGGCCGACCAGGCAGAAACGTAACCTCTTGAATTTGGTTCCCACCATTCTCGATCCCGCTCTCACTCCACAACAGCCTGCTTTCTTCTCTCTTGAATAAAGAAAAGTTTTTCATTCTCCTTCCGCATGAAAACTGAAATGTTCTCACGATGTCAATTACACAAAATGGGTCGATAATCGCAGTACAGACCCCGGGTACAGACCAAACAACAAAAATAACAACACCGACGAAATAACTTAATCAAAAAGATAAGGCCCAAATTCAATCCAACATGGTGTAATGATCGAGGTCTCTCTCATTCTGACTTGATTTCTCAAAGTTTTTTTTTTCATCTGTAAAATGCTGAAAATATGAAAGACTTGTCTTCATTACAAAAATGCTGGGGAAGATGAAGTGGCTGCATTTCCTCTTCGATCGACTCTCCCAAGCTCCACGCTCGCCCTCTCGCCGTTGTAGCCAATCCAATCGCGGTTACTTGTGACGTCATCCTCGTCCTGCTTCAATCTCGCCGTGACCCTGAACGAGATCCCGTAGAACACGAGAGCGAAGGCCTTTAGGAAGAGTACGAGAGAGACGAAGAAGAAGTGGTGTTTCTCAGGATGGTACATGAGGCAGTCGGTGTAGTGCTGGCCGACAAACTCGTGTTTAGACTGCCAGAGGGAGCAGGCCTGGCCCAAGATCGCGTTGAAGTAGCCTATCGCCGGTAAAACACCTGGAACATGAGGGCATAAAGAAGATAACTTAGTCATACTATAATTATTGATGATAATAACAAACCTACCTGAAAGAGGCACCCTTGGTATATCATTAATGACTTAAAAAGCAATACAAGCATGAACAGTTAATAAATGTAGACATTGACAAAACCTACAATTTAGGAAAATAAGAAGCAACAAAAGATTATCATGACAAAATTGACAACAGCACTAGCAACAAAAAAGAATCATACAGTTTACGAAAGTACCAAGGATCAAATCATTATCATTACATTAATGATACGCTTTCTTCATCGGCATGGTTTTCAAGTCTTTTTTGAAAGTTCTAGCTGATCAAGATAGTCTTAAGTCCATGGGAAGCAACAGAGAATGACTCATCACCCTATGATCTCCTGGAATAAAAAGCAGGTTTCCATGTTAGTTACCATTGATGGCAAACTTACCATCAGTGGTAAGTTTTGTGCAACGGGGCCCAGGATTTTATTAGGTATAATAAACACAGGTTTACAAACATAGTCTAACCTTTCCTACTTACCAATAAGATGCCACATAATGACCATCATTCCCAATGACTGGCTCCGCTTATGGACCTTGACCGTCCTGAAAACAAACCGCGGGAAAATGAAATGATAACCTTAAACATCGCATTAATACTATGAAATAATTAAACCTGCTATAAGTACATACTTTATGACGTTTGAGTGATCATTAAGGCGTACTCTGCACTAGGAGCAAATCGATCGGATCCGGCGGAAAATGACGGCTGGTTTAGCAAGGGAAGCTTGCATAGATCGCAATATTGGACATTTGCGTGAAGTTTTCGATAACTAGAAGTTTTTAAAAAAAAAACGCATTTCAAGATGATTGGATATAGGAATGTGTGAAAGAGTTGCGAATAGGTCGATTTTGTAATTTTTAAAACTTAAGATTTTGCAAATACTATCTATATTAAAAGGTCCCGTGTGACAGTGAAGTTACAGCAGGTCAACTCTTGAGAACGAATCACCGCGCGGTGCCGAGTTAGCCCGACAGGCACTAAGTGCATCAAAGGCAGAGATTATGGAAATAAGAAAGACACCGGTTGGCAATCCCAAACTGTACGTACCCGATAACGAGGAGGAGGATGATGGGGAAGTTGACACCGGTGAGAAGAAAGATGAAGAAGACGGCAAGAAGATGAGACCAGAGAGGATTACAATCAGCAGGACAAGGGTCGCTGGTGGCACTCCCCATCTCACCGTCAGGTCCCTCGATACCAACGCACTTGGTGAAATTCTGCAAAAAATACGAGAGACAAATAACTAAGAAATAACATTAGGCCAATATTTGGTTAATGCAACTAAAGGGGCTCTGACTCTTTTTGCCTTCGCCCTTTTCTCATTTTCCCGACGGCAGCGCAATTTTACCAACAATATCCAGACAGATGGGGGTGTCGCACCTCCCCCCCCCCCCCCTCCCCCCCCCCCCCCCCCATAGCAACGCCCCTGGTTTCAACTGCATTCGAGCCGCATTAGAGCGGCAATCTAAAGATTCCGACCGCATTCGAAGTGCATGAATGCAGTTGGATTCTTTTAGTACCGAAAACATCGAAATAGATTCCAACGGCACTCGAAATGCACTCGAGGTGAATCCGGAACATTCCTGCATACTGGTCGGACGTTTCAACTGCATTCTTTTCTTCTTTTTTCTCTTTCTTTCTTCTCTTCTCTTTCCTTTCTTTTCTTTTCTTTTCTTTCTTTTCCTTTTCTTTTTTTTCTTTTCATTCTCTTTCCCTCTCTTCTTCCCCTCCCACATTTTCTCATTTTTCTAGACGGCAGCGCAATTTTACAGACAATATCCTGATAGGTGGAGGTGTCTCCCGCCCCCCCCCCCCTCCCTCTAGTGACGCCCCTGCTGACAAGAGATGATCTGGTTGAAACTACGGCACCCAAGTGGCGTGAATCAGATTTTTTTTTCTTCCAAAGGGTCCAAGTTTTCTTCAATCTTCTCACCAAAATTCAGAGAAGAAGGTGGCTTATCGAACATGCCAATTGCCAGATGAAAATACATGTATATTAATTTATGCAATAAATTGTGCCGAAAAGAGACCTCGATTTAATAAAGAGCCTACCACGTTATATTTGTAATTGCCATCACTTAAAAGAGTCTGTATGACTACGTCCATACTGTTTGATACCATAGCAAATATATTTTTTCCAGCTTAATTCTGTGAGTAACATGTGACTTACGAATTTGGCTTTTCCAGTGAGTGATTGACAACCAGCCAGGCAAGGGGAGATGTAAGTCACGTGATCAGAACCACAGACGGGATGCCAGACATGGTTTGGACAGCTACACTGATCAGAGCAGGTCTCATTGAGGTCAACCCACTTTGATAAATCATCCGCCCTGTTAAAAAAAGAAATAAATGTAGATAAAGGGGAGGGGAGAGAAGGGAGAGAGAGGAGAGAGTTGGTATAAACAGACACACATTAAACAAATTTTTAAAAAATTGAAGTGAGTGACGCCGGTACATTGAGTGGAATGGCTCCGTTTTTATTAAAATTATGACTGATTCAACTCGATCGTAAACTTACGTAAGTGTCTAACATTATTTAATGTTTAGATGAATTAGAGGACTTGCCGTCAATACGGATCGATTGCAACTCTATATCAATCAGCTTATACTATCATTTTGACGAGTTGTTTACTGTATCAAGTTTAGTTCTGAGTTAATCTAAGCCCATAGTGTTATGATGGTGACGAGACTCTTCTACCTCCTAAATGTTTAACAATGGTCAACATGGTGCAAAGTATGCACAGTTAATCATATTAAAATGTAATCTAGGTTTGAGGGATTCCCACCCGTTCTGCGATTAATTTTGTATAACATTGTAATATCTTTCTTTGAGACACTTCAAAATTTGATCAATCCATTTTCTTATTGATACAACCCTCTTGTTAAATTTTAGTCTAGTAAATCTTTGAGATCTTCTGCTTTTCTATGTGGATTAAATCTTGGACACTGTTCATACTCAACTTAAACAAAGTACTTCCGAATCGTTACCTCAACTTCAACTATTATTAGGGCAAGACCGTCAAGCAGGGACTCACTTTGTCTGCTCGCCAGGACTCTCCCGGTAGGCGTCCACGGGGGCCTCGTCGCAGCTGTAGAGGAAAAGCACCCACATGATACCCATGGTGACCAAACACATGATCCATGTCACTCTCCACATGTGATAGATAGAGGGCTTCATGGCCACCAGGGCGACGATCGCGATGATGACACCGACTAAGAGACCCATCAGTACCGCACTTGCTACGATGAGAAAGGAGGAAAGACATCATGATAATAAAGTATTTATATTTTGGGTAAGAAGAAAGGGTTTTGAGGGTTTTGACTGACTTGGAAAGAGTGCCAAAAGTGTCCGAAACGATAGCCTTCTCAGGCTCTCACAAACGATTCCGATCTTCAAAGGCATCACTGTTGCTTGGTTTGGACATACATGTACTTCAGAGAAAAAATACTACAACATAATCTTAAATCCCTTCTATTTTCTCATGATAACGGACAGTGTGACCTCTTAGAGTGAACGTCGAGACCTCTCTGTTTATTGAAAGAAGACTTCCAAAAGTTTTTGCAGAAAGAGCTACAGATGGAAATGATTTCATTTAGATAGACTTGCTCCTCATTGATACATGTATTCTTCAAAAAAGCTCAGGTTTTTTGCCCATGTTATCAACAAATTACCGGGTATCATATTTACGACTTTCCTTCCTTATTTTAAACTTTCTTAAATGGACATGAAATCATTACATCTCTAAGCAAAAGTCACATAAACAATATTCATAGACAATACTCTCTTCTTCGTCACAATCAATAAACAGTAGTAATTGCCTTCTCCATAATGGCATACTTACAGAAGTAGAATTCTGCATCAAATATGCCGATACCCGATACGATCCCATAGAACCTTGGCTGGAAGACGAGGAAACCCGTCAGGATTGCTGCCTCAAAGCTGGTTGCTATGCACAACAGAACGAGGTTGCTCTGCTTGTAAACCGTGCAACAGGCTTCAGCGATGTGAGCTGTAAGAGTGTTTTTAGAAAAAGTTATTATAGGGTCTCGCTAAAACTTACATCACAACGAATTATTAAAATCACCATTTATGACAAGATATCTTTGGAATCGTTCATTTACATAATGGTCTCTAAATTTGTCTTGGCACAAACCATCAGCGATGAAATTGTAATGTGACAAACTATTATGTATTCATTTTAAAAAATTTAATAAGTCTGTAACAAGCGGCTTCTTATGCGTGATATAATTTCACCTACTTTATGTCAATAAATTGTTATTTAGATGCCTTTAAACATCTGAAAAACAGGTACTTTCTTCCGTGTGTATGTTTCAACAAAGCATTGGCGTACAAGTGTGCGTCAAGATGTTGGAGAAATCATCCTAACCCTTTCTGACTCACAGGAGTTTTGATAGACTCGCACTCTAATTTTAAAATAATAGTTAACATGACTGGTTTCTTCAACTGACATACTTTAAGGTTCATACAGGTGAGAGATGACAGTAACGAAAAGTTGAACATCTTCTTACAGTGTCTAGTGCTTGTCGGCATGTTGCCGGCGTCGTCCAGTCGCATGTAGTAGAAACTGTCGTTCTGATCAGGCGCCCCCATCGGTGACCCAATGGCAGAAGATTGTTCGTTGTTCCCCACCGTTGAAGACTCGCTGTTCAGTCGTTTATGTCGCCCGTTCTGAGTCGTCTTCGAGCCCCCTCCCTCCGCTACGTCGTTGTACAACACAAGAATGAGCGCGGTGAGGAAACCATTCAAACCTGTGGAGAAGAGACAGAAGATACAGTCGTAATTTTCGCTCGACTATGTATTCCTTTCATGTACAAAAGCGAGGACAAAGCATTAACGGATCATCTGGTCTGTAACCTGTAACCTGTAACCGTAGGGGCATGAGACAAACACTTTTTCTAATTAAAAAGAGTAATTGCCATGGAGCTGAAATTGGGAGATGGTAAAATGTCTCTGGATTATCTCCTTCTCTAGGGGCGATTCCTTGCAATGTTATGACATAGTTACATGTAATATTGTTATCTATTCATTTCATTCCATAAAAAAAATCACATTGATTTGTGGCCAATTCCCATATCACTAGATTCCCTACCATAATAGTCACTGATCGTACGTATTAAAGAGACTTTCCAATTTGGATGAAATAAATGAATAAAACGAATGTGCCGTATGGGACAAACTACATGGTATGACCCTCGTGCAGGGTCCAAATAACTTTGACTGTTAGGCCATTTCCCATAACCAAAGTTTTTAGTTTCAAGCCCCTTCCTAGCTTTGGGAAAGCGACAATTGGGATACTACTTACCGAGGAAGAATAGAGGGGAGGAGGAGTAGGGGTAGAAGGAGGATTCTGTGGATGGGTAGCTTAAGGAGTGGGATTTCTGAAAGTGGAATTGATCTCGGGGAGAATGAATTACTTCATAGAATATGGGAGAGAGTTGTGGCATTCCATGGTCGCCAACGTCTCAGGACATGGCACGTAAAGAAGAAGAAAGAAGATGACTTACCGAGCAGGAGAAAGCCAAGCCACCATCTTGATATGGCACCGTACGAGCTCATCGGTTCTGTTTTACGCTCAATGAAGAAAGCCAAGAGGCTTCCAGTCCAACGCCCTAGGAGCGATCCTATCATGTACAATGCTTTAACAAACAAAATAAAAAAATATATGAAGTATATATATAGGTATATATATTGCAGGTCTAATGATGCAGATTGACATCTGCCAAAATAGTATGGGCTTAGAGTTTAGTTATTTATTTATCATCATGCATGGATGTTGGATGAGAGAATATCTAATTATTTAACTGTATATTTATACCAACTGGGTATTTTCAAATTAATACCATGCAATCAAAACCTCAATCAGAATACGTTTGACATGACTGTAATGTTATCAAAAAGTCGATTCATGAGTAGACATAGATTGGACATTTATAATAGCTTCCTTCGTGAATCCTGTTTAAATCACATACTGTCTTTACTATGGTTGCTGACAACTCTACTTACTGACAATCACGATAGGGTGCTTCTGTGTACGATCCTGCAGATAGGTGAATCCACAAACCCACTGAGGAGCTGCTCCTAAACCAGCCACAAGCATCCCGCATATGACAGCCAGCTCTTTCCCACTCAAACTCTTGATGTAATCCAGCGTTTCATCTTCATGGCCATTATCGACAGGTCCGTCATCGGGCACCTTGCCAAGGTCGCAGAGTTCATACTGGGGTAGTTTAGAGGCGACCGGCGATGACAGCCAGGCCGGGGACGGGTGGAGCATGAAGTACGGTACGGACGACGCGAAGAGCCCGACGCCGATGAGAAACGCACCACCGGCGACGCAGCGCGGTCGGTTGACGCACCTCCTGCAGGAGAGCAACCCGACGATCCCGATGACCACGCCAAAGTCGAAGGCGATGTCGACGAGCCATGCTTCGGCTTGTGAGATATCTAAACTATGCTGTATGGTTGAGAGAACCCCCGTCAGGTATCCCCTACAGGCGAACTGTGTGGTGAACACGAGTACTGTTACAACAGCAATCAGAATATGTTTCCGTTCCTTTGGCTTGATGACTCGGCTCCCTTGACGGGCCTTGTGCGTCTTGTCGACAGGCGGAGGCGGGATGCGATCGAGGAGAGTATTTTCCTCTTCTTCATCACTGAGTTCGTTTACTGAGCTGAGATCTGGGTCAGATTCCATGGTTGTGAAATCGAGTTTGAAGTAGGACATAACACGAACTAAGAAAGAGTTTCTAAAACTTGTATGATGGGCTGCCTATCCACAGCGTGGGGCACGGACGGCTCACTGTACGTTTTCGCGGCATCTGCAGGAAAAGAAAAACAGATACGAGTAATAAATATGATCCTAGGGGTTATCCTAGCCATTAAAAAAAAATAACGATAAGCCTTTGAATGGACATAGGTTAACAAAAACAATGGTACTTGTCCATATTTTGCGGCATATAATGATGGTACACTCACTGTTTGACAATACTCGTAACATTTAGTTTGGAAAAGCTGGTTTTTCCGAGAAATGATATTTTGTTGTTGTAACTACTGGTTTCTTTAAACGTGTAACAGTATTGTTCCGGAATACTACTCTTGGCGAATATTTCTGCGATAATAGCGTTCACATCAGTACATATCAAGGTCTAATATCTTTTAATTTTGGTCGAGGACTTTAAAGCGGAAAATAGATTGAGAAAAAAAATCGCGAATCTTATCCGACATAGTTCCCTAGCGTCGCAGTTGATAGATCCCTTTTTCTTCAAATGGCAAAAAAAAGGAGTAATTCAAAGAGCAGTCAAAATAAAGAAATAAAGAGAGATGTAAATGGAAAAACAAGCCCATTATAAACTTGTATACCGATTTCCTTAATTAATTCAATCCACAGTGCTTTAGACTGCTTTTGTCTTGACTATGCAAACTCTTCCTAAACACGGATCCCCGTCTCCCTTTCAACAAATGGAAGCTATTCGGACCAACATGTTTCTTCTTCTCGAAACAGTGTTTTACCTGAGCTTTTTTTAAAGAAAACAGCACGAACCTGTAACGTTATTCCATTTTTAGAACTAATTTTAAAAAGAACAAAATAGAATGCACCTGTAATCGTATTCCTTTATCCTTGTTTGCATGTGACTGTGTCTTCATGCCCAATATATTCCAGTCCAAGCTGATAATCACAAATTATGTGTGATTAAAACTGTGTAAAGGAAATCCTTTCATCATGATCTTTGATGTTTGCATTTCTGTGGTTTGAAAGAGTAGATACAATAGGAGATACCCCTGACTGAATGCAACCAATGAAGTCTGATAGAACATGCGACTAACAGACCGTTCAGTTTCGTCAATTAAGAACACATATACTTCTCAAAATGCCGATTCTGGTCGTCCTTGTTGGTGAATGGTGAATGTTGGTGAATTGGGCAAATTCTTCTTTTGTATACAATGCGATAGTTTTTGGTTTTCCCAGGGGCATGTGCCGCCTGAAAGGTATCCAGGCCTATCTACAAATATCATGAGATTGTTTGATACAGTCATGTTTGTCTCGCATTGTATCAGAATGGGACTTGCAAAGGGAATAAATTGGTGGGGTCACGTTTTGTTTTGAGAATAAAAGAAAAATAAGTTGTTGCAAAATAGACTGCTCACAGCTTATTGGGAGTCACAATTGAATTACATTGATAATATATATAAAAGCACAGTCAACAATGAACAGATACTTAACAATACAAGAAGTATATACAGTCAAACCTGTCTATTACAACATCCCAAGGGAACCTCAAAATGGTCTTTATAGACAGGTGATCTTTGTAGACAGTTTCCTTTAATACATGTTTCAATGAGAAACAATTTTCAAGGGAAACAAAACAAATTGGTCTTTGTAGACAGGTGGTCATCAAAGCAGGTTAGGAATCAGTCGAAACTTGATCCTTTAAACGTAAAGTTTCCGCTTCCGTTGCTAGAATGTCATTGAAACCTGGCAAGTACAATGTAGTTTACAATGTACCTTACGTGTGGGTTAAAACATGGACCTCCGTGTTTAAAGGTACTAATATACCAATAATCTAACAAGAAAATGTGTTTATGACGTATATGACTGAAAGAAGAAAACCTCATATCCCGTGATAAGCCAGTATGGCACATCGCCGAATAAATAACGTAAACACGAGATGAATTTGGAAACTAGGTTGAATCAATGATGTTTTGTTGATAAGAGTTTCTTTTTTTTGTTTGTTACATTTTGATATATTCATTTGGTTTCTTTTTGTCATGGTTTCGTGCACACCACCGCGGGAATGAAGCAGGCTTTTTTATATTGTATTCACCATAACCAAAAAGAGAGAGAGAGAGAGAGAGAGAGAAAGAGGGAGAGAGAGAGAGCGAGAGAGAAGGGGGGGGGGGAGTCTGCATCACTTACTTAAAATATTACTGCAAAAACCATATCAATTTCCCCCCTATTAACCCCAGAGTACATCATAGCTCTATTTCTGGTTTCATAAAATGTAGTAATATGGATGCAATATATTGTTCGAGCATTATAGGAAATCCCTTTTAATGTAATACCCGCACTTTTATATATATATATATATATATATTTGCTTTCAAACTAGATGACCTAGACTAAATAAGATTTCGCCTCATGTATACATGATTCATTTGATAATGTTCAAAAAAAGAAATGGTGTCAAGAGTCATGATAGTTTGTGAACCAGTCTCCTTTTAAAACATCGAATATATTTATTTTGACTCTACCCGTTTCCTTTGTCAACCACTATTTGTTGGCGGTGAACTTTGGTTTAGAGCGAAGTTTGTATGACTTTATGTAAAGAAACCGATTCCTCTCTAAATGTACACACGGTGTACATACACTGTATACATGTATCATGCCTATAGTTACATATAATTTGCGTTTTTTGTAAGTTTTCAACCGAGTTTGTACATGGAGATTCCATGTCGCACATCTAAATACAGTGCTCATTTTCTCATGTGTAATAATGTTACCCCCCCCCCCCCCCCCTCCCCCGAAAAAAAAAAAATCGGTGTCTCTCTCTCTTTCTCTCTCTCTCGAAGGCCAGCCATGCATGTACTCCATAATAACAAAATATCAAAGAAAACGTACCTTGTTGATAGATCCCCTTTGCCTATAAATGCATGAGTGTCCTGCCTCTCCTCACATTACTACGATATATTACAATAAACAACACATGAAAGAGTCCTTGGTGGTGTTATATCATCCACACAACTGAGCAAACTGACGTACAAACGTAATGTATAAACTTACAACGATCATTGTGCAGAAGGTACATGTATCTTTTGTGACATTATAATGCGTAGGGTCAATAGACCGACAAAGTGACAAAGTTTAACGACTATTGTCTACGAATGCAGCTTCGTAAGGTTATAGTATAGTATTAATGACTGCTTTGAGAGAAATAGTTGTTTTATTACGCTCAAGGGAAGGTTAGAATTGTGCTATTCCCCGAGGCTTGCCGAGGGGAATAGCCCAATTGTAACCTTCCCGAGAGCGTATGAAAACAACTATTTCTCGAATATTAAAGCAGTCATTAATACTTTTATATGCCGAAAAAAAATAGACTAAAAAATAAAAAATAAAAAATAATTTTTTTTTTTGTCGAAGGTGAGAGTCGAACTCTTGCGTACAATGAGTGATGAATCTTACACCAACGCCTTACACCACTCGGCCATCGCGCGCTGTTCACGAGCTTGGCAGTTTTGTACAATATATACATTAAAGTGGATTGAAACCGGCTTCGGCGTGATGAATGCTTCGCAAAAGCACCCTTCTTTTACTTTTGCAATGCATATTGGCACGAACTTAGATCAAGATCTATCGGCAGATGTTGTTTTTTTGTTTTTGGAAGTTTATTTTCGTCTTCATGTCAACAATGCAAGATAAAATTGTCGGTAAGATCGATCGAGATTCAATTGTATTGAAATTACCGACCAATCCTTCGCACACATACGGTATCCTCGATCGCTCAAACCATTTTTTAACATGTAAACCTATGGGGTAACCATGGAGGCTGACCTATTTTTTTAATAACCATGGTTATTAAAAATAGTAAATGTTTTATGCATGGTTACCGGGAATTTTACAGGAACAGTTGAAGTTTATGAATGCAATTCGACCAATCAGATGGCTGGATTTCTTAAGTGAGGTATATAAAGATAAACAGTGGCGTAGCTTGTGTCGAGTAAGGGGGGGGGGGGGGGGGGTAAAATGCGTCAGGGTCGGAGAGGGATGGGATATTGGACATAATTTAATATCTCGTATGTTATACTTCTAACTCTCTTCCTCTCTCTCTCTCTCTCTTACCAAGTTACCAGCAACTTCTTGCTCTAACTAGCTAGGCCTCCTTTTTATTCTTAGGGGTGATTGCATGATAATTGCAGTATATATGAACCATAGGCCCATAAATTATCAAAATGACCTATGGGGAATTCGATAACAGGTACTATTGTAGTATTAAATATTATTGGTAAGAAACCAATCTGCACGACCTGCTCATTAAGGGAGTCAAGGTCATACCGTCGCATTAGGAAACGCGATTCATATTGTGAGACCCTACCCCCTTGACTGTTCCTTAGATTATCATTGTTCCTTTTAAGCCTCGTCAACCATAATCATGCCTAAATAACAATAGAGGTATGACTACTCAAAAGCAATCCATAACGAGCGATTCGAACACTTTTATTAATGTATCTAAACAATAACAATATTCCAATGTTCCCATCTTTTTATCAGGCGTACATAATGTATGTTTAGGCAGAGATTCATCAACCATCAACTTTTAATATCAGAAAACTTTTAAATGATACATTTCAATATACTGTAAGGTATCATAAGGTAATTGTTTCAAGTATATATGTAGAACGTAAATACCACATAATAATCTTGCTTATATATACACCATCGTATACAGTCATATACGTACAAGGCTTTCTGCCAGTATTTTATTGTATGCAAATGTTGTTTATCCCAAACTGGAATAAGCTGCCAGGCAGTTGACAAAGACCCGCATTTATTTTGTTCAAAGTTCAAAAATGGTCATAACTCTTTAGAATTCACGCGACGGGGTTCTCTACAAAGGCTGCAAAGGATCGTAAACCTGGGAAATTGAATTGTGATAATAATGCAGCTGAGCTTTAGGAACAGTGATATAATAGAGAGTTACTGAGTTGATAATATTCATAATAAGCTATTACTCATAGGAAGGCACAACTACATGTACGTGTATGCGATGGCAAGGGTATAGTCGTCAGTCCTGCTATAGTTTAGAACAGAGCGAATATGCAGTAAAATGACAGAATTTTTAATATTTTGATGTCAATAAATGTTATGTGCACAATTCTAATACTATAATGTACATGGAGATTGTACAAATGTATATAAATATATAACAATATTGCATGAGGACGTTCTCATAGCCGGTCTTGTATACAAGAAAGCAAGGGGCGATATTGGACACTATAATAGTCATAATGCAACCCTTCCGAAACTGTCGCACAAGGTTATCTTGAAGATGAGAATGATGCAAAAGAGGATGGGGGATTCGGAAGATGTCGACGCGGTTTTTACATCCTGGACGCCATTTTCTGAGTTTGAAAGGGAAGCATAATGAAATCGCCTTCTAACGAAATGAATTATCCTGGAAAATCCGATTGCCCCAAGTATTAATCAATTTCAGGAACGTTGTATTGGGAATCGTGATGAAATCTTGTGTAAGAGGAGCATCAATTTACTCGCTCCCGGTGCAGGTATAGTGGCGTAGGGACAGGAGGCACAGACACATATGGCAACCCCACCTCATCTGATCCGAAAACGGGAAAATAAGAAAAATGATAGATAAGAAGTAAGAAGAGAAAGACGTCAACGTGTAAAGAGCACACATCTTCCCTTTACTGGGTGGCTTCAGATTCGTTCATCAACTTATTACAGGTATTGTGGTCTAGTGGATAAGTCACCCCACTGTAGATAAGGTACGGGGTTCGAGTCCTACCGCAGCACTAATGTCTTTTGGCAAGACGTTAATCTACATTTGCCACTCTCAACCCAGGTGTTAAATGGGAGCCCGGTAGGATTGGAAAGTGAATGTGGTTGGATGAGCAAGAGTGCACTCGAAAAATGGCAACTGATCGGAATGCTCCCCAGGGAGTGGAGAATGTGCATACATTGTGTGTGGGTAAGCCTGAATCCGATGACCGGGGTAATAATTAATATATAACGCCTAGAAATTAGGCACGTTATAAATGTGATGTATTATTATTAGGCCCTTACTACTGTGCCCCCCCCCCCCCCCCCCGCCATGGAATCCATGCCCGAGATATTTGAGTCCATTGCATAAAAACCATTGACATACATTGATGGAAACTTTGATTTGATTGGCTGTTGACTGATGTTGCCTTTGAACTTAACATTGATGGCAAACTTACCAGCAATAGATCGATGGTGTTCTTTTTATGCAACTTGTTTCCTACATGACATCATATCCCGGGTCCAAAGTTGAAGTAAACATGAACTTTGATATACATCACCGATGAGAGTAATATGGGACCGAAGAGAAGAATTATTGCTAGAGTATAATATTCCCAAGTTAGAGATCGACTGTGCGAAATGACAAGGTGTCATTGACATGCATGGAGTATGCACCAGTCTAGTATCGATGGAATCCACAAAATTGAAAGAGTTGATGGAGATGTAGAAATACGAGGGAGTTGCATTGATTTAGCGATGGAACAGGAGAAATATAGCTGGAAGGGGAAACGGTTACCAAAATATCGCCATAAGGGGAAGTGAATAATACATTGAAATTAAAAACCGGAGTATTTGTTTTTGATGGTCGGAGGGGGGGGGGGGGGGTACTAACAAGTGTTAAGAGAGGCAAACAAATTGATTGGGAGTATGTAGTGTTACAATGTCGTAATAATATACACCCCTGTACATGTTGCATCAGACATGCATGTGCATTGTACAAAATAGTCACGCTGACTTAGTGCCCCAAGATTAAATGGAAGACAAAAAATTACAGCAATTTTTAAATGATTCATTAAAAAGCTTTTTGATACCCTCTATAGAAATCAAATCTCCCTCTAAATAGCCTACTCTGACCACTTAGTTTCCATGGAAACTCATGTAACGCATGACGGCTTGTGGTGTTTCTCTTTGAACAAAACAGTAACCTATATAACCTTGGCAAGAGAGGATACAATAACATGATTTTAGAAGAGTGGTAAACTTTGAATGAACTGGACGCCAGACTAAAGAAAAATCGATGAGAGAAAAAGATTTGAACGTGAAATGAAAAGGTCATCGAATCGATCGACGCATTACCGTAAGTACAGTATATACAAGTCGATAATACATTGTACGTACACAGTCAATGGCGTGCATTTATAGGATAATGTTCGCAATGCTAAATGTGAGTAGAGTACATCAACAAGGAAAATTGTGATGTCATTGAAATGATTGAACAAATCGTGCATATTCCATTGCAAATGAATGGTAAACGGACAGATATACAAATGAGAGATTTTAGGACTGACACCTGGAGTACCATCCCTAAAGGCACTTCACTTTGGGACAACTGCCTATAGTGCCTACTACCCCCCCCCCCCCCCCCCCCCCAAAAAAAAAAAAAAAAAAAAAAAAAAAAAATACCCCAGGGCACCGACTGGAAATCCCAATACATGTATAGTGTACATAGGAGTATACTACTTCTCGATCAACTACCATCCAAGACACTTCGACAACTGCCGCCCTGTCAACAAGGCGCATCCCTAGGACATTAGACCCACTCATATCCAGGGGGTATTAGACTAAGATTGACTTTGAGTTAAACTACATGTAACTATATGACAGGCTCACCATTATGATCTTTAGATGATGATTTTCTTCAATAATGAATTTATCAAAAAATGTGAATTCTGTAGATTTGTGACCATGATTTGTAAGTCCCTTGAGAGACCAATGCCAGTAAATGGTGAGAGCAAACAGTGGCATGAATAGCCTGCCAAGGCTGCCATAGTTAAGTCCAACTTAAGTCAATCTTAGTCTTTGTGAAACACTCCCCTGCAGGGGTTGGTAGTATATCAAGGCTGACTGTTTGTATACGATAATGCAGCCGTGTCAAAGTCATGTCCTTCTCGATATCAGATGTGACGTGTCATGTTCAACAAGTTAAAATGTCAATCTGAGTATCAGTGGGTACAATGTACATTGATACAGTGGTGTAGCTAAGGGAGGCATGGGGGTATCCCGCCCCCTCCCCCCCCCCCCCCATCAAAGGACATAAAGCTAAAGAGAGGGGGTAGAGTAGGGAAGAGGAAGAGGGGAGAGGAACAATAAGAACACACGTTCCCATCCCACACCATGCCCCAAATCAGTGGTCTTATCGTTTCATATTTGATATGCAAGTGTCTAACTGCCCCCATGATTCTCCTTGGAGTTTTGAACTACGCTACGCTGCACTGTTTACATGCCTTTCGTAATATGCACCGATATCAAAACATGTATGTGTCATCTTGCAGAGCATAGCAAATTCATGTGTAATCTTGTTTAGTATTCAAGGCTTGCAATATATTTCAATTAAGTAACTCTATGTGAGTAGATAAAATGCATGCGCCGTATATTAAGATCAGAAAACAATATTTTTCATCGGGCTTTGTTGGGCTGACCTCTTACGTGTAAAAAAAAAGCATGTGAGACCGAGCATTAGATATAAAAAAAAAATATATAGCACGTTTAAACAAACTAAAGCAGAATATTCAACTACCAGTAGATCTAAGCAGTACATTAAATTAAAGCACAGAAAATGTTGACCCTTAAAAAAATAACGCTAGCAAAAATTAAGTAAGGGTATTATGCTTCTTCTTACCAACTGGGATAAATCCGATATATGAATTTTGTCTGAAGTTCTATTTGTTATACCAGCAAGTCTCTGTCAGTATTAATGTCCTCCTTCTAAAGTTATAAACCTCTTCCAGATGATTATGCACGGAACTACGTCTTTAATGCAGACTTGTCCAAACGAAGTGATCACAACAATAAATGCTATTTTTCATGGATTTTCCTCAATCGTCCGTTAAGATGATAACTATATCTACTTCCTCAATCTTGGCAAAAAGAAGAATCGCTTGAACTACTCGACACGTCCTGAAATAGCTGCAAACAACGTTTTCCTCCTTCCTGTAATCTGAAACTGTTTGTCACATCAAAACATGAATAGATCTGATATATACAGATCAAGAAATATTGACAGGAGCTTGTTGTCAGCAAACGACTTGCATGGGTAATCAATTCCCCTTTCTGGAGTAATAAAAAGGGAAATTACAAATTTCAAGATCGTTTTCCCGAAAATGAAATTACCAAGGGGTGGAGATGGCGACCAAGCTAGCTGTCAGTGGTGTTGACGGTGGTGGTGCTGGTGGTGATTGCAGGGATCGCAGAGGCGGTGTAGTTATAAATGTCAGAAGAAGAAAAAAAATATCAACGAGTCACTGAGTCGTCTTTAGGGAGTCCTCTGTCACACACATATACAGTTTCTCCAGCCGTATAATATAATTATTGACAGACCTCAGTGAACAATAATGGACCCTTTCTTATGTTAGACTCACAATCATGGAAGACGTAACACCACCTGTCAAAGCTACGTTTCATGAAAAGATAATTATTTGTGAATATGTCGACTCAATAAACATTTGTCATTCCTGTATACTCTATGAGGTCCAAAGAAAGGCACAGGTGATATTATTGGCCTACTATGTAGGTGTATGTATTGTCCAGCGCTGATCTACTGATCATTTACTCCGATTTCACAATCTCTATACCGATTATACAGGTATGATTCCGAATAGTGTTCTATGCCTGTTTTTAACTGAAGATGTCGAAATGGGATTTCACGCTCCGTGCTTGCTGTCTGCTGACTGACTTTAGCCTACAATGATCAAGCTAACATGTACCGTACGTTGGGTTTCTTCTTCTTACATGCTTTTCGATTGCTTTATCAAACAAGGTACTATGGTAGAATAGAACACGTGACGAGAAGCGATAATGGGATCAGACGTCGCATTGTGTTGGCTATCTTTCAAGTCAACTCGAAAGGACAATGGCGAGCTCTCGTTCGTGAAACACAATGGCCGAGGGGCCTAACTGAGAGAAGATTTGGTTTATGGGCCAGTGGATACCCCATGACAAAGAGGCAACAAACGAGACGGAAGCCCCCCCCCCCCCCCCCCCCCCCCCGGGCCCCCGCAAGAAGTTTACCAATGTAGGTCGAAGACCTGTCATAACACGGATGCTTTTTTAGAATCTTTTCTGAATACGTATTGTAACTATTATAAAACATCAACATCATTGTGCCTTTAAGGTTTTGTCGTTGTATTTGGCCTGATTATAATCTTAAAAAATTATCATAATCAAGCTTGTATTCATCAGTTGGGACATGCAACAGCTTCCCAGTACGTACCATGGGCCAAGCCTCAACATTCTTCAGTTCCGTTGTCCCACCTGGGAAGTACTTTATTTTGTCCTAAATGATCATAGGACATATTACATGTTTATCTAAGAACAATGGTGAGTGTTCACATCTCCCAATTTTGAGCATTTTTTCACTATTTTAATATAAAGTTGCAAAAATCACTGTATGTAACAGACAACCATTTTGCAGTGATGGTGTCATAGCTGTTCCTTAATTGACCAATCACAGCTGGCCCAGACCAGTCATCTGAAAAAGCAGGAGCTGGTGACATCTGAATTCTAGGGATCTGCTCGCTATTTATAAGGACCGCTATTTATAAGGAACTGGCGAAAATCATCCAATGACGATGGAAACTAGCCATTAATCTCAACAACAACAACAAGGGCCGCTATTCATAAAGGACCGCTATTCATGTTGTCACGCGTTATGGATAGCGGTCCTTACGAATAAAATCAATTAATCAATCATGGCGACAGTATTCGCAATATTAAACTTCTTATGGCACTTCTCATTTTCAACACACAACCTTACGGGGATGGGACTTGGATTATCAACGCACACACGTGACACCACCCCAAGGCATCTCTGTGGAAGGTGAGAAAGAGTGAGTAAGAGAGAGAGAGGGGGGGGGGGAGAAGAGACGTAATAGAGAAGAACACCGGTGTTATCATTCAAGAAGAAAATAGAAAATTATGTACAATAACTAAACAAGAATTCCTTTTAGTATTTGTCATTATTCACATTATTCTTACTGCTATAAAGCGTATTGTTGGATATATACATTTACACTATGCGTTATGCTACTTGCTTTGCTCATTTTTGCACAAAGATTGTTCATCTAGACAGAATTTAAAATAATGTTCTTTTGTAAACGAAAAATAAATTCCACATAAACACCTCCGATGGGACTCGAACCCACAATCCCCGGTTTAGGAAACCGATGCCTTATCCATTAGGCCACGGAGGCTGCTCACGCGCACGTTAGCAATTTTATTGAGTGTATAACTAGAAGGGTGTGCTTGTAGGTGGTTTGTAATTTGTAGTCTTTGTATCAAGACCGTAAATATATTCTTTACACACATACACGCATAACTTAATCAAATGCATATACCACACGAACCACAACAGAATTAACATTTACAAGAAAAATCATATCTCTGTCTGGGTATATAACAATAATACAAAAACGCCCAATATAATGGACGTACATAGTACAAAGTAGTATTTGTATCAAGACTAAATTGTATAGACTAAATTAGGACACAGAATGTTGTTATTTAGTACGAATGAAATATAAGAGCATTGTGCTCATATCATACAATTATCTCCTTGATTATAATTGATTAGTGTACTTTTATTAAATCTCCGGCACACATGTTATAGATCTAATGCTAACTTAAGCAATGTGGCCCATTGTTCTTGAAATTACAACAGAAAATCGAAATGATTACAATGCGATTATGTTTACATGTACATGTACATGAACATGCTAGGTGGAAATGAAAGAAAAGGGGGAGTGGTGATATATTTTAATGTTAGGAACCATATTATCGAGGTCAGTTGTTGCATTGTGCTACATCTTTTATAAATATCAAATATAATCAGGGAGTTGGAATTTCAACTCCCTGATCTAATGCCTAGAAAAGCGGCAAAATGTCTATTCACACACGTTAAAAAAACAGCATATTTACCTTGCTGATTTTAGCTGCGCCAAGCCCGTTGAAATACAGTCGATTCGAATGCACGAAAGTGGAACAACAGCTGATCTGGGACGAAATCTGTGTGTGTCTGTATTCTACCGGTATTCATTGAATTGTGTGTGGAGTGTGGAAGAAAACGCCGTAAAAATTCAACGGGGATTCGGAATGGTATAAAATTTACCAATGTGTGTACTGTGTGTATGTTCACAAAAGAACAGACGCCAACACTCATTCTCTCTCTCCCTCCCTCCCTCTCTCTCTCTCTCTCTCTCTCTCCTCTTCCTACCCCCCCCCCCCCCCCTCCGTCTCTTTCTCTCTCTCCCTCCGACTCTTTTTTTCCCTCCCTCTCTCTCTTTCTCTTATGCAGTTCCAGAAATGTTTTTCTTTCTTTCGGCGGGGAAGGCTTGCAGTTATTGCATTCATTTTCTACATAATTATGCCTTGTTTTCTCTCTCTCTTTCACCTACATTTTTTCTTTCTTCTTATTGCTTTCTTCTTTTTTACTTTCTGTTTTTATCATTTAATGTTATTCGTTTCATTCTCACCCCCCCCCCCCTTTCCCCCTCTTTTCCCGAGCCCTTATTTCTTTTAATTTTTGATAACTAAGAGATGACGTTTAATCGATCTAATTATTGCATTAAAAGCATAACCGGTTCAAATAATCAATTAAGACAACATAGAATGCGTAGGCTACCCATGACTGTTCTGATTACAACAAGGGGAAAACTGTATATGTAGTCCCTACCTACCCTTCATTTCAGGTAGGTTTTTGAAATAAAAAATTTTGAGGAATGATGACTTGAAGAAGTAGATTCTGAACTCCTATGAGCATCTTTGGAAAAGATACTAAGGACAATTATTCCTACAAGTCTGACCTTGGAAAAAGTGTTGTTTGCTAGTAGCAGTTCTAGAGGGCGAGAGGTAAATGCTGCCCCCCCCCCCCAAAAAAAAAAAAAACAACAACAACAACAATAACACACATTCAAATCACACCCTAAATATTATTTATCATACATGAATTTAAATGAGGTACACGTAGAAATTTACAATTTTAAAAGGAGGTATCCCCTTTGCCAGCGCCACTGCATGTGTAGGTCTACTTAGAGTGATATCCTCAAGGAACAAAGATAATATACCACAGCTAGTGGCACTACTAAGAGGCACATATACCCCCACCCCCCCCCCCTCCCTCCCCCATCGAATGGAGAAGAAAAAAGATGAGAGAATTTTACTGAAACAATCAAATAAACAAACAAACATGAAAAACCTTTAGAACAAAATGACGCTGTATTTCCCGACCATCACTCGGCCTTGATCGTGGTTCCTTCCCCGTTATTCCATAGCAACAGGAACGGTTTAAATCATATATAATACCCGTAATTGTTTTTCTCCGAAATAAATTGTTACTGTACGTTGGGTGTTTATCGGCGAGGGGGTAGCCAGCAGTGGCGTAGACAGGTTCGTACACCTGGGGGGGATGACTCAGGGGCGGATTTAGCTTTTTGCAAAGGGGGGGATTGACCAATAATGACGATGCAGAGCATCGTTCACGAGCCGCGAAGCGGCGATCCGATTTTTTTTGGGGTGTTTATTTTAACCCCGTAAGTGATGTTTTCCTGGCATCTATTAACACAATGGAGACCATAAAAAGCAGTGCATGATAACGTCTTTTTAAATCAAGTAACAGTTAAATACACAGTTATATCCAGAGTTATCATGTGTTGAATATCTTCTCACAATATTTGCACTTGAAAGGGTTTCTCTCCAGCGTGCGTTCTTTTTCTTTCTTTCTTTTTTTTTTTTTTTTTTTTTTTTTTTCCTTTTTTGTTTTTTTTGTTTTTTTGGGCCGCCCAAGGGGGGGGGGGGGTTAAACCCCCTAAACCCCCCGTAGATCCGCACCTGTTTAATCTTGTGGTTATCTTGTGGTTTCCAAACCACAAGATAACCACAAAATACTTGTAAGATTTTCTTTTTTTTACCGTCTGAATTGGCTTTCACCGTGTGAATGCGGCTAATAATAAACACAATTACAATAATGATGAGGATTATTATTATCATCATCATCATAAGTATTATTATTATTAATATTATAATTGTTATCATTATTATTATTACTATTATTATCATCATTATGACTTATTAAGTAAGCAAATATCATTCCCCAAAACCTGGGGGGATGATTGTACATGCCATCCCCCCCACCTTGTGAGGTGGGGGGATGCATCCCCCTCATCCCCCCCGTTGTCTACGCCCCTGATAACATCCCCCAAAACCCAACCCGCCTTTGACCTGCAAGCTTCGACCCACCCCAACAAAAATAAGGGATTTGACTGTAAAGAAAAAATGTATATCAATATCAGATTCATTCTCAGTTTTAATATAGAAATGCGACTATCGTAGAAATCAAAGAAAATAAAGAGAGTCCAACATGACAAAGTTCGTAAAAAAACACAGTTGATATATATATTTACTCTTCTTCTTTTTTTAATGTAAATTTTACGCCATATTGGATACATTTTATCCGACAGCACTTTTTTTACCATGTTTTTGTCATTCCAAATGTTCATTAAAAAGGGTATTTTCAAAAGAATGGGGAAATCGGTTATCCAGTTACCGAATCTGCGCGCACGTGTCAATATCATTGTTTGGATTAACAAATATATTTCATTCTTATCCGCTGGCAGAGGGCTTATCATAGACCCCCCTCAGTGGGGTATAATTATAATGGGGATAACTTTCAATAAATAGCTACACCGTCCAATAAAACCTAAACCAAATTATTGTGTTACTACTCTTGAAACATTTCATTGATCATGTATTTTAAAAGCGAGGAACTCACCAACACATTAAATAATGATTTGTGAAAACCACCGTTGCATATAACCTTTGACATATTAATGCACGCGTTGGAACATACCCTGTTTAAAATGGCACACATACCTTTTTTAAAGGTACTATGTCCCATTTGCAGGCCCAAAAAATGAAAAAGTTAAATTCCAACTGCATTTGAAAGATAATACTAACTTAGAACTCCCCTAAAAAAGGTGGGGCTTGAAAATATCTTCAAGTGGGAAAATAACGACTATTAGTTGTCAAATCAACTTTAGGGCTATAGAGCCCAAAAGTAATAGTCTTGATTTCCAGACAATTGTACCGAATGGTCATACGTTTTATGCTGCGCAAAGATTCAATCAGTTTAATCTTGGCCATCACAAGAAGTGGGTTATTGATGTAGACAAATGCTCATGTACCCTTTACAACTCTTTTCATGTATGTTATTACCAAAGAAGAAGAAAAGCCAGTCAGACACTCAATAGTGTCTGACAGTGAAGTCTAGCAAGTAAACGGGTTTCCTTGCATAATTTGAATATGAGGACACTGCTAACGTTTAAATTTCACAGATAGGACATACATGACATAATCATAATTCCTGCAAAGTTCTACAGAATTTGAGGTTGGCTGCAAAAGGGACATAGTACCTTTAAAATGGCGCAGAAAATCATTAAAATGAGAATGATTCAACAACTTTTTTTTAAGAATTAAAAATAGATGTATTACAGAACTTTAAAATAAAAACATTTCTTCACTCGTATTTACCATCAGAAACACGAGGAATGACATACACACCTTACACACAATTACAAATTTAAAAACCATCACATCCCATCATACAACACGACTGTGACTGCATTTTAAAAGAAATTGAAATAGGATTTGATAATGAATTAAAAAACAGTACATTTCTTCTTCATTGAGGTTCAATATTGACACATAAGAGTTGTATTGAAAATGCAGGGTGCTGTGAGCCTTCCAGTCGAAGAAAAGACCCGATCAGCTGCGGATCGTACTAGTGACGTCTACCAATCGCACGGTTTACCCACGACTGGTTGCCGATTTGTCTTTTTCTCCAAGACCAAGGCTTCAAATGCCATACATTTTCGATATATCTATATTCAGATTACCACACTCGGCATCACTATTTCTTTTGAAAGTCAGTCATAGTCGGGTCGTATCAAAGGTGTATGCGGTAGCTTTGAAACAGTATACAATTCAATCATTGAAATAGCAACAATTAATTATATTAATAATATATTACATAATACATGTATATATTAAGCAACCATATTTCTACTTTGAACAATAGGTGTGTAGTACATAGTAAAATATTTTTTCAAATGCAGCCTCAATTCTTTTTTTGGAAGGTAAAATGGGGAATGTGCGGCGCCCCCCCCCCCCCCCCCCACATGAATCTGCCCCTGACACCGGTCCTAAATTCAGTGTGGTTTTATCAATGACAGCCCATACATGTATTTGTAGTTTTGTTCATTGCTTACACCCTTTTTTCTTCTTCAAATAAAGTCTTCATTTAATTTTTCTCAAAGCATAAAATAGTATAAGCAAATGTATAAAATGACGGATGCATGATGGATGCTTACTTCTTCAATGCTAACGATTTTGATCTAGTTTTTACATCAATGTTCCCTGAGAAGAAAATAATTAGGCTATATTCTAATCGATGCCTGTGTATAGGGGAATCTTTAATTGACAATCAGACTGGCTTTCGGCCGAAATATTCACAACAACCACAAGGCCGCGACACGTTAGTGGTTTCTGACCTTACTAGACAGAATATGAAACATCTTGACATGATGACATCACACATAACTAAGACGAACTGTGGCCTTGGTCCCACATCCTCTTTATTCCGAGTGCGTTGAGTTTATTAATAATTTGATGCACCTTTCATTTAAACACCCAGTTTAATTCGTGATTTAAACTTGACATGAATATCCATTCCATTTCCGTGAAGTTATTAAATTCTTTGTGTGCTATTTTGTGAAAAGGCGAATCGAAAACAGTTTTGCAGCAAGAGAACAAAAGAGTAAAATAAAAACTTTTAAAAAAAACAGATCAATGAAATAAAATTTACATAGGATTTTACAGAACTACCGTATACAAAAATTGCGATGACATTCGAGAAATCAACTCATGGTTAATTATAACTCATTATCATCATATTCGGATTACAATAAAAAAAGTACATTGTAATGCTCATAAATGTACATTAAAATTGGTGAAAGGCAAGGCTGTTGAAATTGCCTTTACAGATTCATTTGTCGAAGGTCTCTGCAGTCGTGTTCGTAATGGTTGCACGAATCTGAAAGATAACGGACGGACGGGAGATGAGCAAGGCCAGTTGATTGTGATTTTAACTGCTGTGAGATGAAATGTACTGTAAGACTGTAAGCATAAGGCCAAATCAAAATGAAGATTACCTTCTCGTCTGAACTTTTTGAAAAAGAAATGCGGATACTCTCTTTTTAGTCCGATAAAATTGTCCGTAGCGCGTGAGATTCAACAGCGGTACAAGGAGAATATAATTTTCCACTCGGCTTTGTTAAGACGTTTGTTATTATATCGTTTAAAATTTGTGATTGCTAGACTCCAGGAATGAATAGCTGTGCTCTGAAGTAAGAGGTAATTATAACCTTGAACTGAACAACGTGCTGGTCATGAAATCAAGATTCATCATCTTTTTTTTTTTAATTTCCAGAAACTGAAACTGAAATTCTTTTATACAGCAGCTAAAACAGATGAGCACAAAGGCTAGAAAGTATGTCATCATCGTTATCCTCCCCGTAATCTGGCTAAGTCTTCAAAATATGAATATAAATCTTTTACAAAAATATAATGATGTCTTTCCCGAAGAGACTCGATGTCAGATATAGATTCCCCAACAGACCTATAAATCCAGTATCATGCGGCATCATCTTTATGAACCGCCCCTTCTGCATTTTCTCCCGCGTTCTCATCCACAGCTACCACTCTTATCCTCTCACTGTCATTGGGTTTATAGGTCGCCAATGCTCCTATAAAGAAGAAAATGGACAACAGTCTGAACATCATACACAGCAACAGCGCTGTGAGACCGAATTGTTTGTTGTCGTAAAGTAAGCAGGACGAACCGTCACACGAGTCTTGCCACAATACGCAAACTCTGTCGATGAGGGCGCCGAACACAACCGGACCGGGTATGGTTCCTGTATGAAAAAGGGGGTGAAATCAGACGAAAAATAACCGAAACCAAATAAAACAAAGATCACAAGATCGCAAAGACTTTCAAGAAATCAATTAATGGAGGACTGTAAACCCATTGTATTGATATTGATTACAACTAACTAAAATAAGAGGATTATAATGATAGATGCCAAAGTCCATTAAAAATTTTACCAAAACAATATACCCTAAAAATATGGTATGATATTGTTCATGATAACACCGGCATGGAAAGTTATGAGCGCTGTGTTTACGGTATATACGGTATATATATATATATATATATGTAACAATCTAAAGAGCCAGATTGATTATGCCATAATATAAAATGTCAAGAAATGTCGATAGTATGGTTTTATTTCATCTAAACAATTTTTCCTTAACATCTAATAAAGTACAAGTCAAAACAATAACAAAACTCAAAACAAAAGAAAATCAGCCAAAATAAAAGATTTTAAAAATATTAATTAACGCATGAACACAATATTGCATATTTTCAGTAACATGTTCACGTCTCACTTGCTATTACATTATCACAATGTTTAAGTTGTTTCATTAAAACAAATAGATATTTTTAAATTAATAAATAAAATAAATTTTGCTAACCGAAAGCTCTGAAGCAAAGAGACTGAATACCAAGTGCAAAGGACCGCTGGTCGTGAGATACGCATCTGAAAAATAGCATGCAATGTGACGAAAATGTAATAAAATATAGTTGAAGTGATCAGAGAATATTACAAAAAACATCGCCGTATTCAAAATTGTTATTCTCCGTAGTCGTTTGGGGTATTAGGAGTGTGAATCTGTCACATAATATTTTTCACTCACTATTTGACATCGCGTTTTCTGAGACAATGTGATACATGTTACATGAATAAAGTTATTACAGTAATAATCATTATATACAACTTCACACTTTCAAATCTTTTTTGAACTTCAGAAATGCTGAATGAGAAGAAGAAGGAAAAGTTTACTAGTCACACTGATTAATGATAGCACAATAATGATAAGAATATATCAGAAATAAGATGATGGTCAATGCGACAATGCATATAATAAATTTATGACCAGATATTATAATAATAACGATATTATGAATTTAATAGTGATGACATAAACATCTTTGTGAAGTTGGTGGCTACATCTACCAAATGATTGTGCCCTTTAATCGTTTCAACCAATGTAATAGTATCACGAGGAAATAAATAAATAATACCCTATGATATCATATGTTATTTCAAGTTTTATTTAATAATAATAACATTGACTATAATGAAGATGATAATAATGATAATAATAATAATGATGAAGTTAATAATAATGATAATATGAAATAATAATACAAAATAATAATAATAATAATATATTTCCAAATTCTACGCAATCGTATATTTTCAATTGTTGTAAATCCATTTACTTTCTTATATTATTTCACGATGTAAAAACGATATATCCGTGTTTCCATCTGACTACGCCATTGTAAATTTACTACTGTGTATCATCTATTTGTGAATTTTATTTTCTATTGTATTTTGTTCATGTGCTCTACGTAATGCCGACAAACTGAATTTCCAAATGGACCAATAAAATTAATCTGAAGTCTGAAAATTTCGTACCTTATTGAGGCCATTGTGGAGGGAACTAGAGCTAAAAAGGTGCTCAAGAGCTGGAGAAAGGTGAGAAAGATATAGAGGGTTTCTTTGGAGCACGACTGCGGGCATCGACCCAGCTCCGCCGACCCTCCGGTGATGTTTGAGTCGGTGGTGGAGTTACCGATACACATGCAGTCTGTGTACATCTGTTTAGTAAATATTGAAAAACACATGAAATGTAGGTATAATGCGATTATTTGAGAGTGAAAAAATAATGGAGGAGGTCCCATCATATCTTTTTCTCAACATCTTTCCCCTTTCAATTCCCCTTTTTCTTTTCTGCGATTTCTTTTTTCTTTTTCTTTTGAAAAGAGGATAAACGCCAGTATCTACGCCACTGTTTCAAATGATAGCATGATTAACATTGTGTAGAATATAACATTTAATTATGTTATTGAAAGAACTATATATATCAGTTTGCTGACGATAATTCTATCATGAAATTTCGAAATGGGAACTTTTGGATGCAAATACCATAGATAATACTTGAATAGTTCGGTATCATGCTCGTATAAATATTTGAGCTATATTCTTCTTTTCTATAAACGTCATTAATAGAATCATTCTTTGCATACCTTTTCAACTCCGTTTATCTCTCCCGTTTCCAAGCAGCCTGCAAAACACGCCGAGTAATACAAAACACCGTTGGTCCCACATACAGGATCGTACGTGGTGGGACAGCCACAACCCGTATTACAGGGTGACGTGAGATTACTCACGAGCATTCCATCTCCTTCATCACTTTGTCTGAAGAAGCGGGGGGAAATGAAAAATATGGTGAGGTGATGAAGCGTGGAGAGAGAGAAAAAGAGATGGATGAAGCGATGAGGGGTGAAGAAGTGAAGAGGAAAGAGAGGAGGATGGGGGCATACGCAGCCAGACGACATCGATGATAGACAACAATAAAGAAATTGAAGAAGTAAAAAGATTTAGACCACCCCAAAAATGCGGAATGGAAGAAGAAAATATATAAAATGCATTTTGAATTATTCTCATAAGTGCATGTAACAATATGCTTGATATTGGTAATAGGCATGTAGTTATAAATAATTGTTCAATATTTTAATACTCTTGTAGGAGGTATATAATATATATATATATAAGTTTCCAATTGTGTCTCTAGAAATTCATGCAGTTGACCGTACATGTATATCATTCGTTTCCACGCCAATCATGGGGAGTGAGGTTTTTCAAGGTGACGAAGAGTTTGAGAAAAGGTCAACATCTGTACATATTTTATTCTCCTCTCTATTTCTTTTGTTTATTACTTTCTTATGCTGAGTTCTTCTTTTCCTTCCCTTCCTTTATCATTTACCATTTGATGCTGAAGTCAATACGGGCCGATTGTTTGTGTATTACGAGCCGGACTTTGTTGCGTGAAAAGTACCCCTTTACCGGAGATTTGGGTGACATGAATGATATCCCTCCGTTTCCAGAGTTGGGGGGGGGGGCGGGGTCCCTCCCCATCCCTCGAAACACAAACGCTTACCATTACAGGTCCGTGGACGGACAATACAAAACTCACGCGTTAGAATAGGCGATGGAGACTCCGGCGAAAGGCACATTGGGGCACTGGATGGTGAATGCTGGGAGCATACAGAAGGCAAAAAGAAGACTCCCAAGACAGAAGCGAATCATACCGCGGTACTGAAAGTTGAAATAGGTAACGAGCCAGCCCCCTACCAAGGCACCAGACAGACTGGCAGGTATAACCAGAAAACCTGGAAGAGAGATGAGGGGGAAGGAGTTGTGAAATTCCGTTTAAATCCCCACTGCACTACTTATAGCTACTTGCGCCCTCTATATGGCAAACAATGCCTAATCGGTGACCGCTGGTTCCCCATGATCCCCTTTTTCTTATGTTGTTTGAGAGCTGATTTGATGAGATAACCACCTGTCCGTGACCATGCAGGTAGGTCTATTCCCTCCTGGCCAAACTAGTTTAGAGGGGCTTTAAAGACTTAGTTTATTGGCCAAATGGGTGAGTGTTGAATCAAAAGCCCGTATAAATGTATTTCCGAATACTCCATGACCGTCTAATCACCATTATCAAAGATTCATCATCGTCATCAGCATCATCGTCATAATTCTGATTATAATTATCACTAGAACAAACCAATCCACTATCATTCATCGTAATGCTGTATTTAGTTTTCTTGTCCTAAAAATGGATGCAAAGTCAAAAATCACAGAACGTCATCACTGTGAAGGGTAAGGCCAATTAAGCCCCCCACTCCTTTCCAAAACCTCTGAATGAAACTGCAGCTGATGCATAATTTAAAGACTTCTTTGTAAATCATCTCGCTGCTATCAAGTTTATAATGACAAAACAAATCGAACGCACTAACCTGTTTTTAACGCGGCGTCACTCGCTGATATATTGAACTGTGTTTCCATGAACTTTGACCCGAAGGTCGCCAGAGACGAAATGATAAACCATTCGGTAACGGCGGCTCCGTTCACACACATGAAAGGTATGTTCCTGATCAGGTTTAGGCTAGCTTTGGGAAAGTCTTTGAACGCGTTGCCGAACCCCGCTCGGGTGGCAAACTCTGAACCTTTCTGGGCTTGTGATACTCTCTTCAGTGCGAGCTCCTTGGCGGCTGAAAAGGAGATATGTGAACATTCAAATGTAAGGTTACGATATACAGCTTTATGAATTACAAAAACGATTATAGTTCATGTACTAGCATCTACATAACGAGATGTTGTAATAATAAATCTAAACAAACCATACACATTTTTTTTCTATTATCTAACCATAATTATGTATAGACATGGTTTTATTGCTTTAATAAGTATAATAATAATAATAACAAGAATTAAGTCTTCTATCGAGTATCGATCCATTATATCGTAAAATATTATCTATTTAGATATCTCCCTTTTCTATATTATGTAAATTTATATCTATCTGTTTATTTATTTGAACTTAATACATGTTTTCATCTATTAACTTTAAACCTATCTATTTGCTTATCTCAAAGAATTAATCCACTTATCCATTCATCTTTCTTTTCATTAATTTATCTGTTAATCTATCGTTAAACCCATCTATTTAAACATCTATCTTTCTCTATACACCGATTCATCCATCTATCTATCTTTACTATAAATATATATTTATGTCGATCCATATATCTATCTATCTACCTACCTATCCACCCATCCATTTATCTACCTATCAATCAACTCATATATCAACGCATTATATATATATATATATATATATATATATATATATACATCCATATTTCTATCCATCAACGACTTACCAGGCATAGATCTTGGGAACATAAGGAAAGGAAGAGCGATGGTCAGAGCCATACATCCAGTTAAGATGAAGCCAAGCCACCAAGCTCCTACCCATAGAGGACTATCTGAGGATATCGTCAAGCTATACGAAACAATGTGGAAAATTACAATTTTTACAAAGAATCGCACAATGTTAATAGTTGATAGCTTGCATTTATTCCTTCAATTCAACAGAAAGACATACTCTCGGGAATTCCATATGTAATGCGTCACAGTTCGCTTTCACCGGTTCGGTGGAATTGCTAAGAATGTTAAAGATAAACTTGAGTACTGGTAATGCGATTGCATTGTGAAAGAAAAGGTGTGGAATGGATCAGAAAAGTTGATCATATAGCATGTAAGTAATGGTGTGTAATGCAAGGTTCTAGAGTCATCAAAATCATCATAAATTTGGCAGAGTCTTGGTAAAGTAACAATCACTTACACAGATAGATGTATATGGGACAACAAACATGGTGTCGGGGCTAGTACTACCCTGATTTCCTTATCTTTCTATGCTCATTACTCAGCCAGTATACATTTTCTTCCAAAATTGTTTGGCACATGACATTTATTTGTAATCTTGAACATTCAGTGTAAGTTTTGTTAGATTCTGTGAGAATTCATTTTTTTTTTTACCAGAACTCAAGTTTGTACATACAAAACTCGTAGCGAAACTCATGGCACGCTTGAAAATAAGACGTACAAAAAGATGAGTATTGCCCTTAGGGTTCCAGCACCTGGGTTGGTCGGTCGATTATCTTTCTTTTTAAAAAACGTTTTTTCCCTCTTTGGGCTGATATTTTTCAGTTTTGAATGCTTTAAATACATGTTTTTTTGATGCATTGGACATCTTTTTTAACGGTTAAAATAGAACTTTAATAAAAAGCCGACCGTAGATTTCAAGATTATGGGGTCGGTCGCAAAGGGCAATACAACAACTTTTTGTTTAAGCCTTACTCTGAACTTGCTACTAGAGATAGATCGGACAGCGTTCCTCCGATGATGAATTCATGATGAGTAATTTTTCGTTACAGAGTGGTTCTTTTGAATACCAAGAAAAGTAGCAAACTCGTTTAATAACAATTATACACACATTGCGTACGTCCTGTCGGCTGTTAAAATGAACTGATGAAGTTCGATTTCGGTGAATTCCCCATTAGTGTCAAATTTCCAATGAGTACCCACGACTGTTCACTCTCATAATTGATCGAGAGTTTTCAGGTAGTATTGAAATTGCATGCACTTCGATATGAAATGGCTCATTGCAGTTCTGTACAGATTTTGCTTGAACCAGCAAAATATAAACAAACTCTTTTATAACAACAAAGGAAGCAAATTTATTATGCCCAGAATAATGAGACGACTCTTAAAGGTACTATGTCCCATTTGCAGGCCCAAAAATGAAAAAGTTAAATTCCAACTGCATTTGAAAGATAATACTAATTAAGAACTTCCCTAAAAAAGGTGGGGCTTGAAAATGTCTTCAAGTGGGAAAAAAACGACTATTAGTTGTCAAATCGACTTTAGGGCTATAGAGCCCAAAAGTAATAGTCTTGATTTTCAGACAATTGTACCGAATGGTCATACGTTTTATGCTGCGCAAAGATTCAATCAGTTTAATCTTGGCCATCACAAGAAGTGGGTTAATGTAGACAAATGCTCATGTACCCTTAACAACTCTTTTCATGTATGTTATTACCAAAGAAGAAAAAAGCCAGTCAGTCACTCAATAGTGTCTGACAGTGAAGTCTAGCAAGTAAACGGGTTTCCTTGCATAATTTGAATATGGGGACACTGCTAACGTTTAAATTTCACAGATAGGACATACATGACATATTCATAATTCCTGCAAAGTTCTACAGCATTTGAGGTTGGCTGCAAAAGGGACATAGTATCTTTAAAGCCCAAATCGGATAATAGCTGGATTTCCTGATGTGCTCATAATTATAACTCGGCTAAAATAAGACATTTTCTAGCCCAACGGCTTGTCTGACATCTATTAAGAGTCTCCAACATGCAATACTTTCGGTTGTTTCTGCATGCATCAATTTTCCGTCAAAACCAACATTCAATTTCATTATGCAAAATATATGCGTGGGAAGCATCGTTTAATTCAATTCACACGCAGGTAAAGGCAATTCTTGATTTGTGAAAACTTGCTTTGTGAATATTTATGAAACTGCATATCAACTAGTTTTGTCTGGTTCTAGGACAATTACCCCCTGTACAATCACCCCGTTTAATTACCAGCGGGACAATAACCCCCTTGTCCTTGGTTGTCCTGGTGGTGGGGGGGGGGTACTTGTAAGGGTGGGGAAATTTTCTAGAGGGGGGGGGGTGATTGTCTAGGGGGTAATTATCCTGAAAAGCGGCTTTGTTTATGTCATGAGCAACTCAGGCTTCCAATCATTTAGACTGGTCATCTATATATTATTAAACACATCTGTATTATAGATCGACATATTTTTTTGTATAGATTTATTTTGTTCTAGTGAGAGTTGAAACATACTTTTTCCGTATTTACAACTCACTAAAATACAATATTTCACAAATCTCGTTTTCATAAAGTTCTCGATGTCCCCATAAAATATGATATCGAAATAGGGCTATCCATAGTACTTAGTTATGAGGGGTTTACCCCAGTCGGTATTTTATACGAGGAACCCTGTTTTCCTTTTCAAGTTAAAACAGTTGAATGTATTCTTATCCATATGATTCATGGCTACGCAACGGAAGTTGTTCAACAGACACTGAAAAGGTCAAAGATAATCTTTATTTATTGATCTTTTCCATTCGGGTCCCTATAAAGTTCAGTGTTACTGCTAACATCGCTCTGTCTCTCTCTCCCTCCCAGCCTACACTACACAGCACACATATTCTTGAGTCTTCTGCATTCTCAAATTAAAAAAACATATCTTTGTTATGTCCAAAAGAATACATTGTCGATGCTGTTTCGTCTTTACGCCAGCCGGAGACGAGCTGAATTGGATAGAGGAGGGAAAAGGGGGTAGCACAGTACATGCATGTAGTATGATGATAAATGGTGTATTAATAGTTATCACAATTTATTTCTATTTTAAAATCTATTCCAATTAATGTACGATTTTTCTAAAACAAAATGTTCTTTATGCTGTTTTATTTTTAGGTCTAAAATATCATTCCTTTTATGGCCTGCATCTAATACTAATCTGGTTTTGTCCTGGGCTTTAATATCTCTCTTGATGTGCAAGTTTGATCCACGTAGCGATGTTTAAAAACCCTGGAAAGACTTATGAGAATTACTACCCACGCTTTAGGTCCGGTAGCCGTTATGAGCGCACAGTGCATTTCAATCGATAATTCGACCAGGTACCCACTCACTACATCTGGGTCGAGTGTCGAAAATGTAGATCAATGTATTGCCAAAGGACGATCATGAAGGGACTGGGACTCGCACCCTATCCCTTATGATTCAGTGTCCGGTAACAAATCCACTAGACCACAACACTCCTATAAAACAAAAACAAAACACTTCTACCAACGGTCATCACATGACCTTGCTGTCTTTAGGCCACAAAGAAATATGCAAATTGGTTCAAAATGGATTATACCGAAAACAAACTTATATTACTGCTTGTGTAAACGAAAGTGTGTCATATCATATCTCCCGGAAAAGCCGGTGAAAACGGAACTCTGCATTGTAATAATACATACGAGGTTCCGACTTCACGATTCACGGCTTGGAGACAAGGAAACGATATGACAGATTTGTTAAGGTCGCTGATAACTGCTAAACGAGTCTCGCTTGTGTTGTTGCAATGGCTTTACTTGTGTTTGTGTAGTAATCATGGATTTCGGCTAGGAATGCTTTGAATAGAGTTTAGCTATAGTTTCACAACTCATTTTAAAGGGTTACTTCAATCAGATGTTATCATTACAATTCCCACTACAAGTATACTTTTCAGAATACTCACGTCGATTAATTGCAATCATCTTTTTGTAGGACAATACTGACTTATAATTATAGGTAGGGCATGTCAAGAAATTATTAGAATCAAATACAAAATGTTAATGCTTTGATGCAATTGCCCCCCCCCCCCCCCCCCCAATCGATCCGCAACCAATATTCTGCTAAATTTGTGTTGGTACCGATAAAAGTCAGAGTGGAAGGTCCTTTCAAAATGTATTAGTTTTCACATGTTCTCTTTTCAATCTTAACTGTCATAACAAAACGTTAATAATGATAATCATTGAATATTTCATCTAGGATAAACTGTTACAGACGTATATGAATATACAAATATGACATAAATCTATTATTTATATATCATATATACTTTCTTGATTTTCTTACCTCGCCTGGTCGACTGTGACATCTGTATAGCGATTTAAGAACAAACCTCCAATGAGATACCCTAAAGCTGGGCCCAGCGTTGACATACCCTGAAACAATCCTGTATAAAGAAGTACATTTGTGGTTTAAAGCATATCTACACTACTTATAGCTAATTGTGCCCTCTATATAGTAAACAATGCCTAAGCGGTGACCGTTGGTCCCCACGGTCCCACCCTGCTTTTTTTTTTAATTGAGAGCTGATTTGATAAGATAACCACCTGTCAGTGACCATGCCGGAGGTCTAATCCCTCCTGGCCAAATTAGTGCAGATAGGCTTTAAATGAAAAGCAAAAACTAGAACAAACACGATCGAAACTACTCTCGAAAAATCAACTCAAGATCAATTACAATACCCTACAGTATTATCCCATATAAATTACGCTCGGATATCGTAACGGTAATAAATACATCATTGTAATGTTCTAACATTTAAGAAGGTGATGGACACGACTTTGGAAAGAGCCTCCTGTTGATTATTTCCAAAAACTTTGAGGTAGTGTTTACGCCATTTTTTAATTTTTGTTTATTTGTCTTTTTATTGGAAATCACAATATTTACAAAAAATTTACACAATTAGAAACAAATTCACTGAACAGAATAAAGCAATAACGATAAAATAAAGTTTTTTGAGAATTATCTCATTATTCTGTTTTATCACAGAAGTATTTTATATTTTTCTATTCACATTTAGTACGACAATCAACTGAAACCATTATACAATCTTTGCGGCAGTTACGCCGTGAGCTTTTCAATCGTATTAGCAAAATAAAGCATTGGTTGTTGGAGGGAACATTACTTTTACTTTTAAATGTAATTTGTTTATATCTCTAAGATATGAATAACAATATATATGAATTTAAATCGCGCATCCATCAGAAATTTTCGGTCAATACGCGACATTAATGAATATGCAATTTATATAAAAACAGTTAAACAGAACTCTACAGGGAACGAAAGATACAGATGTGTCAGTTATTACGTAATCAAACGAAATATATCCTTGTATACCATGCAAATACAAACAATCCAGGGTACTTTTGAAATTTCTCCTGGCATATTGTATCATGATGTGTTTTGAAGCAAAAAAGTACAATGCAGGGTGCATATCGATCACATATCCTTTATCCGCCATAGCATCAGGACTCTGTCAGGATTATATTCTTTAAAACGTTCTAGTATATTTTCTATCACTCAAAAAAAAAGTGATAACGAGAATACAGATGACTGCAGTTTCAGAGGGGATGTTAATGGACTGGTAGAGATTTAAAGTTTAATAGGCTCTCAGGAATTAAATGTAAATTGTAATAATAATTTTGTAATAACAAGGTTGTGATTGTGGAAATTATGATAATGGTGGCTTCTTGTATAGCGCACGTGTCCGTCACGTTGTGACACTCCTGGCGCTGCCCCGATTATTACCCTGGCTTTAGGAAAACTTGAAGACATTTCTGCACTCCTGTTTATCATTTAACCTTGTAATATCAGAAACAGATGCAGTACACAGTCATCGCTAGAAAGAGGGGGGACGTCGGGGATGTTGAACAAAAATTCGAGCCTCTTTTAGAAAAGATAATATGCTTGATTGATGTTGGGGTGACTTTCATTATACTTTCATGTGCCAATATTTTGAAAAAGAAAGACAAATGTATCTCAAACCTAATTTGTTAGACAGCCAATTGTGTAAGAAATACGAGTACTGTTCAGTTCAGTCAATACTTGCCCTATTATAAAGCAACTCATAAAACTAATTACCGGTAGAGTAAATATCCAGCATTTTCTCTCACTTACTAAAGAGCTCATGACTCAACCATAGATGTGTAAGTGTGTTACGAAGTAATATCAAGTAATGGGAGAGTAGCTTAGCCTCCTTCATCTATCGACCCGGGGGTGTTTCACAAAGACTAAGATCGACTTTAATTTGGACTTAACTATATGGTAGGCCGTTCATGCCATTGTTTGCTCTCATCATTTACTGGCATTGGTCTCTCAAGAGACGTACAAATCATGGTCACAAATCTATAGAATTCACATTTTTTTACAATTCATTATTGAAGGAAAAAATATTATCTCAAGATCGCATGATTGAGAGACCAATGGTGAGAGAAACCAGTGGCATAAATGGCCTGCCATAGTTAAGTCCAACTTAAAGTCGACCTTAGTCTTTGTGAAACACCCCCAGGATGCATTTTGCTCTTATCATTATTGTAAGTTCTTATTTTGCTGTAAGTTTTCCTTACTTCTGTACTATCTATTTTCATGTTTTTTTTAATGTCTATATGGACCCCTCTGTAAAACAGCATTGTTACGCTAACACCGCTGAGTAGGGCAATCCCTCCGTCTTCCTTTTGATAAGTTTGCCTTTATGATTATAAATGTATATTTGTTGATATTTTTTAAAAGACGGAAAATAAATACAATACAATACAATACAATGCATATCTCATCCGTTGTTTCTGAAAACGATCCCAGAATACATACCGACATAGAGAGCTGATCGCTTTGTCTCGACGTTCTCATCAATATAGGTCACGCCCAGTGTGTAGATACCAGAGGCACTGAACCCGTGGAGCAGCTGGGCCAGGATGAAGACACCGATGTAGCGACTGAGTCCCCCGGAGCTTGCCGAACACTCTCGATCTTCGTCGAGTGTTGCATTGGAATCCAGCGAGCACGTGTCAATGCCTGCCGTCTGAATGAGTTACCATGGATACGAGAGGGGTGGGTAAGATTTAGCAGGTATTGCTTGAAAATTCAGGCCCGAATTCACAAAGGAGTTTGTCTATAAGCCTAGGTTTATGTGCGTCATATGACGCGTTTCGACGCGTTTCGTCGACAAACCTCCTTTGTGAATTCGGGCCTATATTGGTTGGACCATGTTTTAAACATATCTTTGGTTAAGGGTGTCGAGCACACAATGATGCGACCATACAAAAATAATAATTATGCTACAAGGTATAAGTAGCTGATGGAAATGATGGTGGTGTTGATGGTGAAGATGATGGAAATGGGGGTGACGTTGATGATGAAAGCGATGATGAAAGCGATGATGAAAGCGATGATGGCCACGATGATGATGTTACTTACAAAAGTGAAGGTAGATGGAAATATGGAAGTAAAGGTAGATGAAAATATGGAAGTGATGATATCAACCTAAGTAATGGTGATGACGGTGATGATGATAATGTTGATAATGATGGGGATTGATGATGATGATTGGTATGAAAGATGGTGTAGGTGGTTGGGGGTGATGGAGGTTGTTATGAGCGGGATGGAGATGATGATAATGATGATGATGATGATGATGATGATGGCGATGACAACGATGAATGTGGTGGAGGTGAAATCAATGGATCAAAAGAGTGTTGTTGATGGCACGAAGATCATACCAATATCATGGTGCCGGGCACCAACCTGGCCTATACTCATTTAGAAGAGTGTGTTGCATTCATTTCTTGATTCAGTGTACCCCAGGATTCACAATATTATTAAAATCAAGTGAAAAAATACATGAAATGCATTGTAATTCAACAATCAATATCATATTTAAAGCATCTGATTTAAAGAACCTATAATAAGAATGGTCTTAAACTTTTCAAATAAGTTACCATCTCAAAAACAATGTCTGTATGTACCTGGTACTCGTATGTCCCACTTGTGAAATGCGGCAACGAAAACAGGAACGAGCTCGCCGCGAAACCCAAAGCCCCTATCCCCAACCACCTCGGTTTATGCGCCCTCTCCCCGAAGTACGTCACGAAGACGACGACGAGCAGCACCCCAAAGTCGTACGCGCTCGAGATAAAGCCACTCTGAACGCTGGGGAGGTTGAACCTGCGTTCGAGCGTGGTCGTCACCACGTAAACGATGCCGTTGACGGTCATGCCTTGGGTGAAGCCGAAGAAACACAGGCAGATGAGGAAGCCGATCGGACTGTTACAGAACTTGAGAGAAAAAGAAAAGGGTGTGTGAAGATAAATAATGGAATTTATTACGGAAGAAAAGGGAGGGCAGAGAGATAAACTGACAATTCCCTGACATACAACATTTTATACGACTCCGGCTTTGACAGTTAGAGATGCTAAGTATAACATTCTGTGTTGATTAATATCTCGAGAAATGAAATATACAGGACTTTGATAATTTATGTTACTATTAGATATGTGACAAATCAAAAAAGGAAAATGAATATTTGAGAAACCATTTAAATACCCGTCAACGGTCACATCATGATCCTTAAAATCATTCTGTCATGTTTGTAATTAAACTGCCCCAATGGCCATTCAATTATCCTCACTCAATCTGTCTACATTGCTCAGTTATTGGGTGATTCCATACGAATTGCCCCGGATAATTGTTTCTTAATTAATATTTGATTTAAAATTAAATTTGCTTGAAATGGCCATTGACTATTATTGTTGGTATAAATAACCAATGTCAATGATCACTATCATAGAAAGATTTTTATTGTTATTATTTATTTATTTATTTGTTTCGTTTTTATTTTTATTTTTATTATTATTATTTTATTATTATTATTTTTTTATTTTTTATTTTTTTTATTTTTTATTTATTTTTTTTTTTTTTTGGGGGGGGGGGGGGGGAAGGGGGTTAAATAGATAAACAAATGACATAGCATGCAGTGACTCGCCCTATTCAAGAAACCAAACTCTATATATACCTGCAAGTGCTTGGGATGCCATGCCCCGATGCCACACTGTACCTTCTGCTCCTCATCGTCGACCCCACCGACAACGCCTTCATCAATATTCATACCACCGACGACTTCGCTATGCTGTTTCTCTGTCCTCTGTTCGGTCATCGCTTCGTCCTCGCGATCGTGCCCCTTTGCCATTTCATGATTGCCGTCCATGAAATTGTTGACTTTTGGTGGACTATGCGAAGGATTAGCGTTCGCTTGCAGTTCGTCTTCATTCACAAGTTTTTGTCTGGGTTGGTCTGCCAGAATGGCCGATGGTCAACAAAATTATCTGTGAAATTTGCTGAGAGAAGAACCAAATATATATAATCATCACTATGAAAATATCCTACAATGAAGTGACGAAGCTAACATGTGCCACCCCCCCCCCCACTCCCACTTCGAGTGGTGAAGAAGAAAAAAAAGTAACGATTTAAAATCGAAGGAGGGACAGAGATGAGATGCCAATGACAAGAGAAGAAAACGCCCTGACCACATTCCACACCCTCCCCTAAACAGTAGCCTCGTAAATTTCGCATATAATTTCCGAGAAAGACCGGGTGTGCCCCCCCCCCCCCCGAATGTTCCAGTGCCCCTCTATGGGTGGACTCATGCTACGCGCCACAGCTATATTGTTCTATTATACCTTCACCCTGATTACTATACGAAAAGATCAGACGATGAACTAGGAAAGGATATAATTTGAAGCATAGAAATGGAACACTTTAAATTACATGAGCTGGGAAAAATATTTTCGAGGATACAATGAAACAGTAGGCTACATTTTCATAGAAGTCACATTGTTGTATTCGCATTACAACGGAAAGGTGCAGATTGATATAATAATCGAAATGACTACAGTCTCAGTTATAGGTAAACACAATAGATTTAACCCCTTTTTTGTTATGGAGAGTATATGCTGATACATAAAATAATTTCTATATTGAAGTTGAACTCTCCCTTTAAGTCTGTTTGAAAAATCACATGACGGGAGATAAGTAACACGATTATCAGGAGCTTGTCCTGGATATGACGTCAAACTTCAAGAACGAGAACATGAGAACAGGTCATACTTTAAAGAAAAGGTGTAAAAATCTCAAGGCAAAAAAACTTGACAATGAGCCAAACTGCATAAAGTTGATCATACCGATAGCTAATTCATTACTAAGTCACGTCCGCGGTATGAAGCATTGAGGACCTTGCAAACTTTCAACAACAAAAAACATGGGTTTTTTTTTCTTTTGAATAATAATATAGGCTAGGTGCATGCATTAAAATGAATGGATAATTCTAGAGAATATCGGATTAATATACCTGTACAAATTAATATAATGCAAATTACCTAAATTTATAGGGCAATTCAAAGTAGGCGATTGAGTTCAGGAAACATTCAAGCTGCGCTGTATGAAATATTGGCTCATTAGAGTGATAGCCTTATAGGTTACACCAAACTGTATAGGAGGAAATAAAACCTAGACATTGGGCCTAGTTATGAACAGAAATATAAGGGGAAAAACGTTGGTTTAAGAATGGGCGGATAAGGAATAAGATATATTGTTATGAATTTCTAACTGTTCGAATTATGGGACATAATATACGAATAAATTTGCATAGCCTCTCATGAAACACCATGATCTTTCCTTCCACTCATTCTGTGACTCGTGCTATTCTAATAATCATAACTCCAACTCGATATGATGAAGCAATTTACATTTCATATAATAAAACAAAATTAAAAACACTTTCGTGAGAGCAGATATTACTATATTCATAGCAAAGAATTTCCTACACGTTCGTCTGCATGACGGAATTAATAATGAATTTATATTACACAAAGCATGACCTCGACCCTAAAATTGAAAGAAAGACATAAATGGAGAGAGAGAGAGAGAGAGGGAGAGAAAGAGATACAGAGAAAAGGAGAGAGATAGGGCAAAGAGAGAGAGAGAGAGAGAGAGATACAACTACACTCAGCAACAAACAAACTGATTCCACAATAAAGGCAGACTTATGATTATGCATAGTTTGGATTACTTTGGGATTATAAATTATAATAATAATAATAATAATAATAATAGTGGCTACTTGTATAGCGCACAGGTCCACCTTTCGGTGCTCATGGCGCTTAGAAAAGAGTACATGTAACAGGCATAAGAAAGAAAAAACAATAAACCGAAAAACAAATTAGGCCCTATCACTAGAACAATTTAAATTGCTAAACTGATTTTTTTTTTAAAGCTTTTACTTGTCTTTTGATGTATTAACGGTTAAACTCAAGGAGCTATTGTTAGTATGTACCCTATCAATACTATAATATCTGGCATTTGCGCAGTAATACTGAAATCATAGGTCTGCAATGAATACACTTTGCGATAAAATAGATTTAATATTTATATTTGGGCATTTCATTTACCTTCATATAATATTTCATTAGTGTACTGTAATAGCCATAGACAAGAAGCTACGAGGCAAACTTGATATACTGAGCTACTGGATCAATATACGGAAATTTATTCAGTTATATACTAAACTATACTGAAATTCAAATACGGCCAATAACAATATAGTAAATTGTCATTATTTAGGGATAAGCGCTCTGTGTACAGCAAACTGCATCATTTCAAATTGTTACAACAGATGTTAGACTATGCTGTACCGCACTGTGACATTCGTTTCATGGAAACCGTTATCATCATGACGATTTATTATTATGCTGAAATCACTCGATATGAGTGGTGCTTTACAGTTGTTGCGTGTAGAGCATAACCTTGTATTTATGTGCTTGCACGACTATCGAGTTTCATATCGAGTTCCATATATACGTAGGCTTATTACGTATGGTATTGAATAAATTCGTCATTACTTGACGAAGGTTCATAGCCGAAAATTCGTATGTCGCCTATGATTGAGAAAACAGAGAAGGGAAAGAGGGAAAGAGAGAAAGAGGAGGAGGGAGTGAGAGATGAGAGAGTAAGCGAGTGGGAAGGTGTGATCAGAGTAACGTTAAAAGGAGAGAGGGGAGGGGAGAGAGGTGGGAGGATTGGGAGGAAAGAGAGAGACTGGATGTGAGAGAGAGAGAGAGAGAGAGGGGGGAGGGGAGCGATGAACGGATGGGTAGAGAAGAAACACACATCATTTATCGATTTGGTAAGAGATAAACCTACTATAATATGCAATATCTGGGAGAACGTTGGCTCCTTCAGTTTATATCTCCTCGATCCCTTGAAACCCCTAAAATACTTATCCACACCCACACAGGAAAAATTCGGTTACTATAGTAATACGGCATTTCATCTTCATAGCCTCAATTTTGCTATCGACCCCTTAGATCTGAGATGAAGACAATGACAGGGGCGGATCTAGATTTTTGCTAAGGGGGGGGGGGTTGACCAAAATAATGACGATGCAGAGCATCGTCCACGAGCCGCTTAGCGGCGAGCCGATTTTTGGGGGGGTGTTTATTTGAACCCCGTAAGTGATGTTTTCCTGGCATCTATTAACACAATGGAGACCATAAAAAGCAGTGCATGATAACGTCTTTTTAAATCAAGTAACAGTTTAATACACAGTTATATCCAGAGTTATCATGTGTTTGGTTAAGTTACCAGATGAGTTGAATATCTTCTCACAATATTTGCATTTGAAAGGGTTTCTCTCCAGCGTGCGTTCTTTTTTCTTTCTTTTTTTTTTTTTTCCTTTTTTTTTTTCCTTTTTTTTTTTTTTTTTTTTTGGGCCCCCCCGTAGATCCGCGCCTGAATGAGTTTATCGCCCATAATTTTGAAAGGCAAACAGAAAGGCAATTTCAAGGACTGTTATAACAATGCATCTATATATTATGTCTGTATTACATGGGTGAGCTTATATTAGGCATTATATATCAGAAACAAACTGCACTTGGCCTCGACTCTCACAACATGTAATTGTACCGCAGATTTACAAGTATCTTTTGACAAACTTTTATAATCAACCAAAGACAATATTCCAACATTCCCCTCCTCTTCCCCCTCTCTCCCTCTCTCTCCCCCGTAACATATTAGAAACAATGATATTTCTGGCGCACAGATGATGCAGAGATGGTGCAAGTGAGTATACTGTATTAATATATGTTTCTCGCCCTCAAAAAATGTGGATTTTGCTTTGGCGGCACATCTCAAACCGACCTATACATTACTGAGATAAGAAAACATACGGACAAAGTCTATGTAATGTTATTACCAATGATACTTATGGTCACACGCACGACAATCGTTTAGTTGGGTAATTGGTATACGCTTGCAATGTCATCACAATACAACATGTAAACAAAAGCACTTACCCGTATTCCGTACAGTCTGTTGCTGCTTCTACGCGAGGAATAACAGACAAGCAATTCATCACACACCGTCAGTGTAGAGCATCCTCTATCGTACGATCGTGATCGCCAAAATAACGTGTCATCACAAACAACACGTGCACGTGCTGGCTTATTCCGGATTCAGATTACACTTGTAACTGATAATTTTCATTGAAATAGAAGAAATAGGATGGCTTTGAATGCCGTTTGATATGTCAACGCACTTGACGGTATTATGGGCACGTTCATTTGTCGGTATACACGTTGCACCGGCTATTTATCTTACGCGGTACACGATGTATATTCAATAATAGTATTCAAATGAGTTTTATTTTATGCGGCGCGCTCGTCGCATCCGGGGCGCGTGTAGTATGGTAAATCGTGCTTATTCGTAGTCTACCTCATATAATTGTGTGCGTGGAAAACACATATTATTGTTTTTAACTTGAATAATACACAAATTAAAATGAAATAGAGCAGTCATACAGTAAATTGACCTATATCCTGAAAGAATGGTATACTCTTACAATTCATTATGAACAGAACAATATTGATTACATACAAATGTTATAGGGTAAGAAGCTTGTTTTACCAGACTAACATTTTAATGAATGGGGACAATCCGAACATAGTAGACAGATCACTCAGGGTGGTATTCTCGAAAGCAGACTAACTTTAGTCCAGGGATTAAACCTAATTTAAACCATGTGGAATAACTCTTTCGGTATTCTCGAAGGTGGACTAAAGTTAAGCCAAGTTTAACTTAGTCCGCTTTCGAGAATACCACCCTATCACACTTGGTTTATGTGTTAAGGATTGGAGGAGGCGTGTGGGACACGCCTCCTGTGCCATCGAATGGCGAATAATTAGAAAGGGGTAGAAAGAGAAAGAATGCAAGATAGACTGTGTGTGAGAGAGAGAGAGAGAGAGAGAGAGGGGGGGAGAGAGGAGGATAGAGAGAGGGGGAGGGAGAGAACTGTGAGAATGTCATTGATCACTCTTATTGAGTATAGAGATTGCTCTATAACAGTATAAGCTTCTGAGAAGATAGACACTTGAGTCGTATCTATCCAGAATAAACCATTAACCCGATGGTATGCTCCGATGGAGCTCTTCATTAGTAATATGTTGTACTCTAAAAAAAACATAAATCTTTATTAAATCGCTGATTAGCGAGGGTTTTGAAACATTTTGAAATATTCGTATCACAACATTTATTTTTAAAGAATATCTGATGTAAAAGAATATCTTGGCGCTGGCAATTTTTTGTATAATAATTGCTCATTCAGTAAAATATTTAGGAGCAAAAAGGGACTTAAGAAGTTATCAGAAAGAGACGAAAGCATCCTCAATGAGCGAAGTTGCGCCACATAACCTAACATTTGTTGTTGCATCCACTTCAAGAACTTATAAAAATTGTCCAATATCGTATAACACTATTTTGGTAACGATTCGTCTGTAATCAGATAACTCCACAAGTTATAATCAAAAACCGACCAGGCCCTTAATAATAATTCCCCCTCCCCCCCCCCCTCTCTCTCTCTCTCTCTCTCTCTCACTTACTCTCTGTCTACGCTGAATAACTGGGGGGGGGGGGTAAGAGGACACCTTTTTTTTTTTGGTCAAGAAATTTTTAATTTTTTAAATTTGCTCCGTTGGGGGGGGGGGGGGGTAAGGTCATCTTTTTAGGTCAGCCATTGCCATATTCATATTATTATTTATTTTTTTTTTTAATACAATTTTGGGGGGTCGGGGGGGGGGGGCACGTCCCTTTTTTCAGTACATTTTGGGTTAAATTTAGGGCTGATTTTAAGATATTTTTTCGGCCCCCCTGCATCCGCCACTGAACAACGGTCTTGTCCCGGGTTCGAAACCAAGTCGACGCGCACGTTGTTAAATAATTATTCTTCAATGACAAGTTACTCGGAGAAGACTTAAAGCCGTCGGTTCCCTGGTTTTTTTACTTACAAGCATGCAGATTCTTTCTTAGCTGTCAGGTAAAACAACTAACCAAAAAAAAACCTAATAAATTCATCAAAAAATATCTGAAATTCAACTCAATCAACAAAAAGTAGAAATAGCAATAGCGCCAGCTACCGAACAAAATATGGACAAACTTAGTTGATTGACAGCTATGTACAGCTAGAGAGCGCTACCACCCCCTATTTTTTGTATCTCCCTCTCTCTCTCTCTCTCTCTTACCGTTCCCGTACATCCTAATCTATCTTTCTATCTCTCGCTTCCCTTTCTTCTCTAAACATTATTTTTCATCGCGCTTCTGTTTCCACCATCTCCCTAGCTCTTCCTCTATAAACTGACAAATCTTTCTCAACATCTCTCTCCCTCTCCATCTCTCTATTCCCTCTCTCCCTCTTCTCTCTCTCTCTCTCTCTCTCTCTCCCTTTTTTTCTCTCTCCCCCTCGTTTTCTCTCTCTCTCTTTTTCTCTCTCCCTTTTTTTTCTCTCTCTCTCTCCCTCGTTTTCTCTCTCTCCTTTCTCCTATATCCCAATATACCTATCTCTCTCTCGCTTCTTCTTTAAACATTTTTTTTATAGCGCATCTTTCCACCATCTCTCTCTCGCTTCTTTTTTAAACGTTTTTTTTATAGCGCATCTTTCCACCATCTCCTCTTCCTCTATAAACTGACAAATCTTTCTCAACATTTCTCTCTCTCTCTCTCTCTCTCTATCTCTCTCTCTTTTTCACTCTTTCTATCATCGTCTCTCTCGCACACACTCTTTCCTGTCTGATACATTTTAATTCCCACATGCTGAAATAAACAATCATTTTATCATTGATAAAACCACGTTTTTATTTACAAATAACACCGAGTTCATCAAACGATAAATACATAATGATCTATCAATATGTTACACTACATGTAAAAGTCATGACAGTAAAGTAGTATCATATGACTAAACTAGATAATAGAATATATGCTACTTTCTAGGAACACGACATTGACTAAGGATTTCGTATAACAAAAACTATGATTGTAAAGTTAAAGAGAAGGCTGATTTCTGGGAAAGGTGACAATAATTTCTTAGCTTTCTCATTCTTTTCATGATAATTTAAAAGAGCATTATAAAAAAAAATATCGCCTGAAAAGCCAATGCGAGGCAGAGCCCCTTTCTATTTTCACGATAAAAACGCTGAGCATAATTATAGCGGAGACCTTAAGATTATGATAGGATCACCATTCTTCAGGATTCTAATTCAAAATAATGCCAAATAGCGGGCTGTTGAATTCGGTATCAATTACAGGGGGACACAGTATGTACTTTTCTAGTTTCGTAAAGCAGGGAAAACCGAAAAATAAACACCGAGTTAAATTAAGAATTCAGACAAAAATACGAAGTTTGCATCACACAATTTTATTACAAAGAATTTCTAATGGCAAATTAAAAATATTCAATCCTAGTTCTTAATGAAGATGAAACTCATTTTCTGCCTTATGGGGCCTTTTTTTTGTCTTCCCAATTATGGTATACAGACAGATAATCTAAAAGACAATTTTCAGTTTAATAAGTACTTGTAATATAGTGTGCAAAATCTAAATAGTTAGAGAAGTTCTGAATTAATTTATTGCTACATTTTCTTTCTCTTAACTATAAAAAAAAACTACAACATACTGATCATTGACTACTCATTCTTCTCTCTCTAATGCCACATAAATTTTAAAACTATACGCAATAAATGCGTACGTCAAGCTGTTTCAAATAATGACGGCTACGTCCAGATGCTTCAATTCCATTGCGCCTATCAAGGATTTTCAAGCCATAGATTCAGCACCTATAGATGCAGACTGAGAGGTGCAAGGACTTTCCAATCATTTTAAAGCCGTTTTAAACCTTGCGCAGTTTTAATAGCGCAAGGTTTGGTTTGGTTTGATTTGGTTTGGTTTGGGGGGGGGGGGGGGCTGTTGATAGAAGTCGAGGCGTTAGGCCACTACTCTCATTTGTATTATAATAATGATCAGACTAATGTATGGTACAGGGAGTAGACCAGCGGTACTATACTAATTTGAACAGAACAGTTTGACGCCTCGTGATCTCGCTGTATAGTTACGATGCGTCACTCAATTGCGCCATAGATTCGTTCATTTTTAAATGATTCATCCAATTGTAAAAGCTCAAACATACACACCATTGGTATGTGTAGAAATTGTATTTTTGACATCAATGTTTCGTTGGCGCCGTCCTCTGCATAATATACCCGTCTGTCCTTAAACGGCGCAATTAAATGCTTTTCATGCAGGAGCTTTGTGCACAAATTCATTCAAGTAAACCTTTTTACCGCGGACCTACTTGGCAGTCATTACTGGTCCAAAGATATTTCCTACAAAAAGTTCCTTTTATTTTACACAGCTGGTAATTCTACATTCACATAAATTCGTGGTAATGATGACATTTTGATAATCTGGTAGACATATATATATATAAAAGATATTAAAAAACGTATTTTTTGGAAGAATCTAACACAGATTGGTTAATTAGACAAAGGTACACCAACCTAATAGTGTATCTATGATCAGTAAGTGCTATTACTAAACATTTATGTTGGGAATTAGCACGATTTTACACACATCTTCTTTTCGAACAAAATTAGAAAAAAGACAAACAGTTTTATAATTTCAAACATGCTTTACCGGTCAAAAATGACGCTCAAAATGTTTCTTATAATGATTGCAAATGCACATACAATGCCTAGTACTGCACTGATTATCTAGTAACAATAGTAATGTGTACACATCGTCAAAGATATTAAACCACCCTGAATGATCTTAAGATACATTATGAAATATTCAAAGACAACTCAATTTTAATCACACTTTCAATACGAGTGAATACACACGGCCATAAGTAATATACAATTAATATAATATTTTATAAAATATCGTCATCATAGATTATTGTATACATTTTAATATAACAAAAACAACCACGTTATTTTCCGCACACCGCATGAGAGTAAGTTTTTGATTAGATATCCAGAGTAGCTTGATTGAGAAACCCCAGTTTGAATCTAATGCACGTTACATTCCATGCGTCAATTTGATTGCGTTATGACTATACTTGCGCTAATGGAACAAGTGAAGCTATTATTAGCTCATACGTCAGTTATAAAAATGATAGTTTCCATTGTGTTATTTATCCCACGTTTAAAAACAATATCGTTCTAACACGGTGCGTCAAAGATTGCGCTACATGCTGACGCAATCATACGTCAGGCAAATACGCCTCGTGTGCAACGGGCTTTAGGGTAGTAAGGTTCATGAACAAAGACGAACATTATGTCACTGGTGATTATATTATTTTGTCAACGGGTAACACAGGCATGGCAGATGGATCCAGGGGCTGACTGGGCGCGACTCTTAATTCGCTTCGTTTGAAAAAAATGATATCTGAAAAAAGGAAAGTCATGTCCGAACAGAAATTGCTGTACGTCTCGTTATGTTAAATTATTATGTCAATTCGTGCGTCAACGTTACGTTTAGTGTTATGTTAAGTCATGTCACCGGTCGGTGGTCTTTTTTATTCAGTCAGGTCTCTTTTATTCAGTCAGGTCTCTTATATTCAGTCACGCAAGAAACGACTGGTTCGAACAGTCATGAATCACATTTGACAGTTTAGGGTATGGGTTTTCCACAGATTATTCATATCAATTACCCCACTCAAGTCATATTCTTGATGCTTCTTCGATTTAATTACTGATATGGGAGCGGATAAATCAAAACATGCTTTAATCTTCTTCCTTTACACTCATCATAAGGCTTTAAAACTGAAAAAATCCATTACTGTTTGTCATCAGGCATAAGGCGTCTTGGAACAAATCCATTTATATACTCTGATAGTTTTGAAAGCCACAATCATGGGCTATTGTATTTTTGCCTGATAGCCACACGCCGAGTTACTTTTCTGAATGTATTTGTTTTATTTGATCAACAAGGAAATCCATATAGTCTATCCTTGTTGCTACAGAGCGGTGTCTGAGTTCATAGTTGACGGTGAATTGCGTCGTAGCGCAACAAAAGTACTCTGAGGCGCCCTCAACGATGTGAACAAAGTGACACTTGGTCGATGATAGTTGTTGCCCCGGTTGTGGTTGTTCATATTCAAATTCTCACTCTTTTCGCAGCAGTAACTGCTCTGCTTGTGGCAACATTTTGAGAGGTTCTTACGGTAGACCGTGCTCATGGCGAAGACGATGTACGGGTCGAGGCACGCGTTCAAGAGCGCCGAAATAGCGGATATCTCGTCAAATATTTTGCTGTGCGGCTTGTCCCTACCGTAGTTATGCATTGCCTGTTTGTAGAGGCGGTAGACAAAATAGGGCATCCAGAAGATGGCAAAGGACACAGTGATAAGGACAAATATCATGGCGAGGCGACGTCGCTGGGAAGTCTGTCTGCTGTTATTCCCGTCCTGTCTCGTATTGTTAAGCATGGTATGACTGCTCTTGTAGAGTGTCATCGCTATAGAGACATAGAGGGTACTGATCACCAGTAACGGTACGAAGTACATGGTGAAGAAGCTATACAGGTCGAAGAGAAGTCCTCGTAGCTCACCCAGGCGGACAGTGCTGCATATCGGCACGAACGCGGGGATGTAGGAGAATAGAGCCATGGGGATAGATAGGACGAGGGCCACGATCCACGTCACCAGGACACCCACTACCTTAACGGTTCTGCCGTTGATCTGCCTGGACTCCAGACCTCTGACAACCGCCATGTAACGCTCTATGCTCAACGCTGTCAGGGAGAGGATGCAGACATACTGCGCGACCGTTTCGAAGTAGGTATGCATCTTGCAGGCAAACAGTCCGGCGCTCCAGCAAAGTGGCTGAAGGAGCTTGTTGACGTAGACAGGTCCACGCATCAGGATGTATATCAGGTCACCTACGATGACATTGATGAGGAAGATGTTGGAAGGAGTCCTCAGGGATTTGTTGAGGCATGTGATGACCAAGAGACCGATGTTAGCGATGGTCCCCATGAGCATCATAATGCAAATGAAGATGACGCTGGCAAGGTAACTGTAGTCTACATCGCTACACCACAACGACCAGTTGTTGGTTTCGTTGCTGGTGTTGTCACTGGACCAGCTGGTGAATTCACTCATTGAATCCATGGCCGACCTTCAACATTTACTTGATAATCATCCACTTTCCGATATTTTATCTTTTCCTTAGCTGGATGGAACTATCAATCATTCAATAAAATATGTTTATAATATTGAGACTTCAGTTTTTAAAAACACTCAATCCTCTTTTTTTGGGGGGGGGGGGGGTTCGTGGTCGCTTCAATAGTCGAATACCGTAGCTTGGAGATCTGATATGGAGATCACTGTAAATTATGATATTGCAACAAGTATTATTCCATTTCACGGAATAGTATGAAGTAATCTAACACGGTCTAACCCGTTCCAGTACTTGTCACGCGCTTTTCCAAAACATCCTACCAGGACGTTGTAGATTACTCTTTCATGCCAATTAATTCACTGCGTTTATAAGAGCGGTGTGTTAACGTCTCTAAGTTTTCGATGATGATGCTGACGATGGTGCGGGAGAAACACTTGGAAGAAAATGCCAGTTGCCACAGAAGGACAGAATATAAATACACTTCTTAGAGCAGGCTGGCGGCGTCGAGCGGCTCCAAGCACACCATCCTTCTGATTCCCGGGCGTAATACCGTCTGGAGTGCCGCAGACAGACCTGATAGTGAAGAGAGAAGAAGAAGGACAAATTGTTGAGAGATAAAATCCAGCCTGGGAAAATTTTCTCAGTAATGTTTAAGGATAAACCAAAAATGATCGCTTGATGTCGTAAACATGACGTCGAATTAGTCCAAAGCACATGGCGGAATAATCGGATGTCGCCTTTAAGAGGAAATATAATATAGAAGAGTTATGTGCGTGTTGCCCTACGTCAAGTCGCTCAGATTGGTGATATATGATATAATATTACCATGGTGAAGGGTGATCCTCTTAACCTGATCACATTTCTTATACGTTTTTCACTTTTGTAGATGATGATATTTTCATCTCTTTTTCCCCTTCTTTTTTGTTCATTTTTTTTTTGTTATAGATAGAAATAACGTGAATTTCTTGTTATTTCTCCGTCTACGATCGTATTATCGTATTAAAAACTGCTTCTAAAAGATACAGACATGTGTCTTAACGGAATCATAATACATATTTATTTTAAACAGTTCGCCGTTGCTGATATAGGCTGGGCTATAATAATGAATGCACTTCTAAGTAACATCTTTCTCCTCAACTGAAAGAAGACCTCGATAAGGACCACAATATTTTAATGATTTTTAGCATTGCTTTGTAAAAAAAATAATACTTGGAAATGGCATGGTCCCGACTTTCTTAATGAGGGAAAACCGGAAATTCAAAACTTATTTCATAAATATCTTGAGTTCATATTTATTCAAAGCAGTCAAACGATTTTTAAACACTTAATTAGGTAAATCCTCAATCAATACCATCTATATTAATAATAAGATTATACCATCTGCATCTTGCTATCGGTCACTACAGTGATTTTTATTTGAATGATCCAAAAAATTAAGTAACACAACAAGACAGGAAGATCATCTTGACGTCCATTTACTACAGAGGTCAATGGATTACTCCATCTAGGCAATACTGTGGAAGATTCACCTACGAAAATTCATCTCACAAAATGAAGGCAATGGGCCCCGTCACAATCGTTGTTTCCATTTTGGTTCCCGTATCACGTCTTAATTCCATTCCGTATAATCTTTCGAGAATACGAACAGCTCTATTTGGGATTTAGAACAACAAACACACCGACAATATTCTCAATGGTCGGTGGGGGACTGGTGTGACTTTAATAACAAACGGCTGAGGGTATATTGACCGATGATACAAAATTCCAACAAAATAGATTTAGAGGAGACGGGTTTGGTTTAACAAGTATAAAAGGAGGGCAATAACATTTACTCCAGGTAAATTAGGAATAGGCATATCACTCTCTTGATATTTCATCTCATTATTTCAGGAAAGTGCAGGAAATATTCTTATGAACCCGATTCGAGATACTGTTTGTGTATCAAAGGGCAGGTCAGACAAAATGTCACCCAAATGACGTATCAGGAAGCCACTGTCAGTAAGAAAATAATTAGCGCAGCAAATATAGTGACCATAAAATAAATATCAATTTGCTACGGTGTGACGTGGAACCCGTCCATGACAGAGACTATTCCCAAAGATAAGTGGAAAATATAAAAGCTACATCACGAAACTGAGCTGTCATCAGGCGATCTAGCAATATTGAAACCATTTGAACCATGTTGAGTTCGTGATATTAAATATTCCTTTTGTGCAAATGGGGATTTCGTATAATTATTCTCTCGCTGCTTGTATACTTTATTGACAAAAGTAGGAACGATTAACAGCAGTTATTTAAATACGTATTATCTTCTTTCCTCTTGCATGTTTATTTGTATTCATGTGAGAATGATGTACGCGGTTAATGCGGAGCTAGTCCCGAATAACAATAATGGTTTTATCCATTTAATTACCGAACATACTGATCCACTTAAACCAATCTATCACTCGGGATTTTGTTGATACTCGAAGTAATAAATAGTATGATGCCCCCTCTTGTTCCTTCCCACGAGGCTGATAGAAATGACTTAAGCTTCGTCTTAAGGATAGATTAACGTATCATTATTTACATGAACAGAATCAGTAATCATGAGCGGAATTCCCATACTAACATAATCAATTGCTGGATGTTTCTACCTCTTCGTAGAATTGTTTCACTATTGTTTCACGTGACTTCTTTTTTTTCTGCATGTTTCCATTGCCTCTCAGCTGGCTGGCTGTTCGGGGGATAAGCGAGTCAGGTGACGACAAACATGATCACGTGACTACCAAAGGGTATGGCATCAAACTAAATCTAGGCAATGTGATTATAATAGATATGAAACTCCTGATACCTCTTCGTCTTTTTCAGCCAATTGGCAATTCTGAAATAAGATAAAAACTTAACACTGAGACTTGATATTGCGTACTTTACAAAATGCTCCAAACTGATAAGGAAAAACCGAAACATTTTGAAGAAGGTTATTCAACAACTGAATGTGCAATTTCCAAATGGGAATGTGTCTTAAATGTGTATACGATTTTAGATATTTAAAAGTATGACGAAAAGAAGCTATAAAGTTTAGACCGAACTTTCCTGTCCCGAGTATGTAAAGGCCAATGTAACCAGTTATGTGTGCCGTGCACGTGAATTTCAGCAAAATCGAGTCTCATTTTTTTCATCATTTCAAACCTCACACTATACATCAATTGTTTTGTACTACATTATTAGATTTCAATCTGAATTGAAGAAAAAATCAGAGAAATGACTGGTGTGCTCAAGTTACGCAAGAATTTGTCCTTTAGCATTGAAACGCTATATGTTTCATGAAAGTGTAAGGTTTACAAAAAAACATTGAAAACCCAAGAAGCGTTGTGACGTAGGAACGAAGGGAAACAATAACCACAAGTAATTGAGAAGTTTTCCTGACCTATCAATGCGGCGTCATGTTGCCGGTTTTTCTTTTAGTTTCCCCCAAAGAAATCAAGATAATTTACAAGACACAAAGTCTTTGTATTTGTCCTTCATCCATCCCGGCATCTCAAAACTTAGTGTCTCATCAGACAGAAGAATACTTCCACGACAAAAAGACTAAAATATACGAAACTCACGTCGCCATCGCAAATTGATATCTGTGAGTCCCTCCTACATCATCGCTGCTGTCGCTTCGGGCATCTTCGTCGTGACGGAGCAGAAACATGATGAAACTTGGACTGAATCTTAATTTTTTTCCTGCGCATCAGTGATGTAATGTGTCCCTTCTGTTCGTTTTCTTGTGGACTATTTCGCCTATAATGATCGAAATCGGTGAAGTGTGTATGATCATTGACCTACTAGGTATGATAAAGTTAATAAGAATATTTTTTGTTTCCTTAAATTATCAATCCCTGGAGTAGACATGAGTTTTCATGATGATCACTATGATTTAAATGCACTTGGTGGATTCTTGCGCAGATTAGAGTAAAAGAGAATATTGATTTGTACTGAATTTTGATGCGTATTCGTGCGTGCCTTCATGAATGCGGGTGTGCGTGAGTTGTGTGTTGACGTGTGTGTGGATATATACAATAGAGGGGACCAAGGGGATCGTGACAAGTGATCATTAGAGTATAGATTGAAGAGGAGATTGAACTCTGGGAAAGGTGAAGAAAAACAAAACATTGTTTTTTGGTAGCGTGGTAATTTTTCCCCTGAAAAGGATGGCTCTCTAATATATTCGACAATATGACAACTTATAGCAAACATGGCTAAAACTTGTGGACCCCTCTTTCATCATGTTGATTTTACTTTTTTTTTTGTAGTCCTATTTACTCATTTGTGTGTACGTTGCATGGAATTTTTTTGGCAAGAACGTGATAATTTCTTATCATCTTAAGGATTCCAGAGTCTCGAAGTATTCTTACGTGCTTCATGATCAACCTTTTCCAATAAGGGAGTTTACAGATAGCACATGGTACAAATGACCCCAAATATCCACAGATCTTTTACACATGGAGAAGTTCCACTTTGAGCATCTTAGAATAATAACTGCCAAAGTCCTAGATGTGCTTCATGAATACCTTTTGTTTGACCTCTTGAAAAGAATACTTCCACCTGCGTATCATAGAATGTACCGTTGGTGCATACATGAATAATGTTACATAACTTTCATGAGCGCATATCCAGTATTCATCTTTGTGGGTTTTACCATTTTGGTACAAATGACCTTTATCTGCCCATGCGCAGATTGTATCTGTAAACTCCCTTATTACATCCAGACAATTTCTTACACTATGCAATTGCATGACCAGAAGTGAACTTTATTTTAAGGTGGGATTACAAACATTATGAGCTACATATAGATCCTTAGTAAATCAGTTAGTTAAATTACCCACGCAAAAGATAAAAACACGCACATTTAATCCTTGTTGTGCGAAAATTTGAAATTCGTTCGTCAAGGATATTCTCAAAGGGATGTTTCTTCGAGTTCTACTTCCATTGTGGCGAGTCGATTCGCATTTGTCTCCGTCATGGTGCCTAATTTGTTTGTATTGCTGCTTTTGTTGTGTTGTTTTGTCTTTTCTTGCACATTTCAATGAAAGCGCAATGCTCAACAAAATGTATTAGGAAATAACTTCCGATCGATATTTTTTAATTTGTTGGAGTAATTTTGTTTCTAGTTACATCGACCTTCACTAAAAAATATGATTATTGAAGAATAAAACATTCCATGTTCCTGTACTGTTTCTACCATTGACTATGAGACCCTCTACGCTGTGATAACAACAGGGGGTGATCCGACTTTTGCCTCAGCGGCAATTAAGTAGCTCGTGGCTTTAGTTCGTTATAATCATATGGTTAGTGTAAGGGTTTTAGATCAGGTTTAAGGTTAGGGTTACATACGTATAGTGTTAGGTCCAGAATTGCCGGTAGGAATTTAAATAGTGCAGGACATTACCGTGGAGCAATTGTCGCAGGAGGAACTGTCGTACAACCGCCAGGGGATTGAAAGGACTCTCGAATTCAACAAACACAAGCTTTCAAGTACACGGAACACAGAAGACCTAATATTTCCGTTTGTTTTGTTATGTTAAGATGTACATGATGTAGGT